ATTAGTCATCAGTGATTGGCAGTGTACAATATGATTTAAAACCAAAAAATTTATGATGTTTTATTGCAACGCAATTATATACTGGGAATTTTAGTTAATTTTACTAACATTGAGAACTCAGTGAGATAACTACAGCCTGGAAATATATAAAAACTTGTATAAAAATATCATCGAAACAAAATGTGTTAACTAATTCCCATATCCTATCTACTAAAAAGTATTTACAAATTAAAAAATTTGTTTTAAAATCAACAAAACTTTTAAAAATAAAATGAAATTAACCTTTTGCTCTCCGTTGTCGCCTCTGATGAGAAACTAAAAATCACCATCTAAAATTCAAAATTCTTATATCTTAATAATTTTGTAACCACACTATTTTATGAATTTTAACTGTTCTATAAAATTTTTGTATTATGCAGTTCGAAATCATTTAGATCGGTATTGCAGTGATTGTCGACCGGCCTGTGTAGGGGCCAGGGAACTGGCCTTACATTAAAAATGTTCTGGGTTCAAATCCCGGATAAGACATGAATGTTCTTTCATTCTCTGTAGTATCTGTCCATAATGTGGGAGCAACGTTGGCCCACCAAATATGGTGCCCCTGAAAGAGTGGTCAACAAATCTGCCCTTCAGATGCCTGTACGACGAAAGGTCATTCTCCAGATGGCCATTGGAAAAATAAAGTATTACAGTGATTTACATTAGTTCAAACAGCTCATTGAAATACTCGGACTGCAAAGGGTTAAAACTTATAAAATTTTCATCCGCCTCGTGAAATATTATCTTCTACTTTTTAAAATATTTTCAGGCAGAGGCCACCCTGTAACTGGTATAAGGTGGCGTTTGATATGAGTTTTCGAATTACATTGTTTTTTGAACAAATGTTTTTTTTTAAATCTGTAACATGAAATTTTAAGCAGATCTTGAATACTTTCGCATCGCGAATTTCAAATCTGAAATCTCTCTCTCTACAAGCTACTATTTTTATATAATCGAGTTATATATTCCTATCTAGAATATTTAAAATTCAATCGAGTCAATACCAAGTGTCCCCACTCCTCTAGTTGTTGTTGTCGTCACCGACCATTAAGGCAGAGGGGGTACGATTGTTCTTGTTTTCCAGTGGCGCCATCTATGGCCAAGAATTCGACTTCTGTCACACCCATACGTCTCACCCGTTTATAGGGCGCACCCATTCATTCGTCCACATATCGTAATTTTTACCTGAACCAGAGAAGAATCAATCTCCAATTTAGTACCTCTAGAGGTATTGATTTGTTATGGGAACATGGAAGACTTTGTGATCCGACAGATTTAACATGCACCAGTCACAATTTACTACACGGGAAGTCTTCGGCCAGCTGAATTCAATATCCTGTTCTCACAAACCTGAGTCCAGCGCCCTGCCAAACAGGCTATCCCGGCCCACTCCTCTCGTAGGTATAGGAAGTAATAGGAAGACGGAGATAATACATTTCCGTTTATGATTGTCACGTTTTTTGTCTTAAGTATGTTCAAAGTAGCAGACAAGTGTTTATGTATGTATAAAAACGTATTCGTTTTTTATAAACTTCATTGAGACAGAAAATAAGCTAAACTAAAAACATAATTTTGAAAAAAATCAGCTGTCATCAACTAATTTCCGATTTGAAATTCTCACACCTGTCTATTCGGTGAAATCAAGTACTTGTATAAATACAACAAAAAATTAGTTCCCCTGTGTTATTCATGTAGGGTGTGAACCTAGTTGCAAAACTCCAACAGCAAGCTCTGCAGATTTATAAAAGAAACAGCAGATTAATTTCCACATCAGATATATAAAAGAAGAAAAAACAGTGAGGGGAGAAGAAATTGCTAGCATTAAACACCGAGATCAAGTAAAAATTAAAGGCAAAACCAAAAAGAAAAGAATTTTCTATCTTCAATATGGAAATGTTTTTTCTTTTTTGAAAATTTGATTCCAGAAAAAGAAATTTGATGTTCTTTTTTCTGTTTATTAATAAACAAAATAAATATTATAATAAATATAAAAGTATTTATAAATAAAACAATTGTTTTATTTCCCTGAAAGTACCTAGGTTATGAATTTCATTTGAAGAAAAAGGCACAAATCAGAACACCATACATTACAATTGTTAATTTTTTTCTTTAAAATGATTTTATTTTGATATCTTCTGCAAGCTAAGGCTTTTTTTTTCCTGTTTTCTATGTTGGACTTAGTATAAGCATTTTTTTTTTTTTCTTCTCCTTTGATCAAAGCTAAAGTATGATTGCATAAAATTCAAATAAAATGTCAACAAAATAAAGTTTCAGTGTATAACTTTATTAGATATTTTAAATCATAATAATGAAACGCTTAGGTTACCACTCGTCCCCCCAGATAAAAAAAAAAAAAACTTACCTAAAAGGCCACTACTATACAACATTCGTCTGGGCTGTTTGACTAACAAAAAAAGTGGCAGTAAAACTATTTCATTCTTATATTTCATAAAAATTGAAAGCTTATACTATTTTTAAGAACTGTCCACCACTTTTTATTTTTTTCCCCAAATAAACAGTCTTGTTTATACATTAAACTTCATAATAAATCTTGATAGTCGGAATATTTTACTTTTTCAGTAAAACAATGCTGTTTTTTAATTTTAGAGTTCCCAGGTCCAAGTAGCATTTTCTGGGAGATTTTGGAGTTAAAGAGTGATGTAAGTGCATTTAGTTTTAAACAGTCAACAATTTTCCTCAGAAAACCTGCTTTATGACAACAAACTAAAATGATAAGAATAGAAATATGTATAAAGGATTTATAGATTTCACCATTAGAAATTTAAAAGCTCATTTATTTCAGATCATTAGGTTATTAATATCTGATTAAGAAAACATGCTTAAAATGTAAAACTACGATACTATTAAGTTTTTAAAAAAACCAATTCACTATGTAACTATTATTTTCCTTTATATCAAAAATAATGTGAATGCTTAATAAAAAAAACTTTCCCAACCAACAGAAATTAGTACTTTTGCATGTGACTAAAGAAATAAAATCAAAATTCATTAATATTTTTAAGCAGATCAGCTCTAATAAGGTGTCAAGATGTTAAATATGACTCTTTCTGTACTACATACATAGTTACTAGCTTTTTTTCTAGCTAACAACACAATGCTTTTTTAGGTAGTTATCTAGATCACTAAATATTGTGCTTTTATTATTTAGATGCGTTCTGCTCATCTAAATAGAAAAAAAAATTGCTTATCTAATATAACGCAGATGATTTATATACCTCAGACGGCACATCTGTATTAACAAAGGAAAAGTTAGCATCTCTTTTGTAACTCCAAAACTGTTAGTTGGATCAGAGGTTTTCAATTTTTTTCGGCTCTGGAATCCTAAATAATCAATCTTCTTTCGGTGGAACACCGACTTAATAAATATTCAAGTTAATTGTAAATGTTATAATTTATAAAAGACTATTTTTAGATATTTAATTAGATGTATGAAGATTTTTAATTGTTTTATCATTAATAATCTTGTATATCCGACAGTTGAATTTGTAGTTCTTGTGCTGTTTCTAACCTAGTTATTTGTTTTTAATGTATACAAAAAATCTGAAAATTCGAAATGAAAACTTAAAACAGAACTGCTATAAACGTTAAAAATGGCAAGTAAGGAAACATATTTCTTTATTAAGGACGTAAATTTTATTTGGATTTGAAAAGTGTGACAAATTATCAATACAATATTTTATAAAAGTTAGTTCTTGTCATAATTTGTTCAATATATTTTTATTCGAAATAATAGATGACATTTCCATTTTTTTGGCATTTTGATTGAAATAATTTCATCATAAAGGCAACCGTAAGATAAAATAAAATATGAATTACAGGTTGGGTCTAAATCTAATCTTGAAGTTTCAAAACTCATCATTGGTTACAAAAAGTACTCTCAGAACTCTTTAACCCTATATGATGATACATAAATAGATTTAATAACGGCTAGTGCTTTTATTTTCTACATAATTTTAAAACACACAAGAATTGAATGTTTTCTTTTTTTAAAATTAATGTTATTCGTATCAAATATTATTAATTTTGTAGGGTTAACATAATTAAAATAGCTTGTTAGATTAAACTTCGTATTTAAAAAAAATCTAATTATTAAATCTGTTTATTATTGTATTTAAATAGATCACAATATAAATATACGTAGGTTTGTTCCTACTTAAGGTGCAATTTAACATTTGAAATATTTATATTTACTTAGTTAAAACCTGAGGCCCAAGTATGTGTAATTAAAATTATTGGCAGTATAATTCATATTTTGTTTATCTTACGATTTATGGTAGTAAAGTAGAAATTCGAAACTGTAAAATATTTTTTTGGTATATTACTTTACATTTGAGTAGTGAAGAGGTTAAAGCTCAATTTAAACAGAAACTAACTTCCCTTAAGAGTACATTGCAATTTTTTTACTATTTAATTTTTAAATTACTGTCAGGTAAGCAAGTAAAAATCAATGTTTATGGCTTGTGGAAGTAATATTAATAAATTAGAATTTTGTTACCTTATACCAAGAAATTTTATTTATAGTAGTAAAGCTTCTGCGGTGTGCTTCTAAATCTAAAAAATTTAAAGCCAACAATAATTTAAATGATACAAAACAACAAAAATTGTGTACTAAAGTGCCAATTCAAAAAGATCATTGCTTTATAAAAGTAAAACTTTATTTTGTAAAGTTAAATTATATTTAAATGAGCTGAATTTCTTATTCTAACAATCTATAATATCCAGAAAAAGCAATCAGCAATATTAAAAATGATAAATTTGAAATTATTTAAATTTTTAACCATCTTAGCATTTGCTTTTCAGTTTTGTGCAAGATTATAGAAATTCATTATTCGTTTACGATTCCTCCCTGCCCCTAGTAAAGAAAAGATGTTTAGCTAATTATAAATAAGAAAAGAACTTGAAATTAAAAAAGAAATATTAACAATACATTGAACACTAAAAACAATTAACAGAAAATTTTATTTTGTTAGCGGAATATACAATTTTCTGAAGTCTGAAAAAAGAACATAAAAATAACACGGATTTAACAACACAAAAGGCCAAGTGAATAACACATATCTAGTACAGATAATATATTAAACCATCTAATAGCTTAATGAATTTCTACTGAAATAATACATATCTAACATGTGTGCCAAACACATAATGAGTCACTGGTTAAAATGGTTCACTGGTAAGGTGAAGACCTTGCATGAGAGTTGGAAGATTTATGACCACCACCAAGTCCATGCTTGCGTTTGTGCTTATTGCTTTTCTTCTTAATAGGTTGCTGTGGCTGTTCAGTGCTTTAAAAAAAAAAAAAAAAAAAGAAATATTCAGTACAATAACAAAAATATTATCAGCTGTTATTTATTCAATCTGCACTTTTATACTGAAAAACCTACCATTTAAAAAAAAAAAGCATAGTTATAAATTTTAAACCCATACTTTAATGATGGCATATTAATTGTAATAGACAAAATATCAGGGTTTCTAGTTGTCCTTCTAATTGGCTTTATTAAATAAAAAAACACTGTTTTATCAAATTAGAAATTATATTAAAAATCATCCTTTTACTTATTGAAAAGCACTTAAACTTTAAGGAAAAATATTCAACAATAGACATTTAATTTTCACAGCGTGCATAGCCAAATTTTTCAACAAAAAATAAGCACCTTTTAAGCATTCAAAAAATATTTTTAAGCACTTGTACAATTAGGATCTGTGCATTATTAAAAAGGCTTTCGCCCTATTGTAGAAAGTTCTTCATAGATACATTAACAAAAGGCAAAATAACTTTCAAAGGCTTCACATAAAAATAAAATAACTAGTTTCTGACAAAGAACTCTTTTCTTGATATTAGCCACGATAAAAATAATTTATACACAAATTTTAATATACTCAATATTGTGTAGCTCCTACTATTTTTTAAATTAATAATTAATTTTTTTAATTCTGCAAAAAGCTTCACTTCAAAATTCTAATTAATTTAACTGTTGTTATAAAAGGTTATTGTGCGTTTTCTTTTAAATTTAAATAAATATTATTTATAATACCATATTCAATGAAACATCAACAAGATTAATATTATTGATCATACTGAATTTATAAAAATGTGTAAGGAATTAGGCAAATTAAGAAAACTTTAATAAATTCGTGTTAACAAATGTAAATTAGTGAATGGCCCCAAATAAATTTTGATTAAAATTCATTACTTGGTTCAGTATTTCTTTAATGAAATGATAAAAAAAATTTAATTATTTTGAAATGTAAATACAATAATGAGTATTGAAGCTAATATTTTTGTCAGACGTAAATTACTATTATGGTGTTATTAACAAATTAACAAATCTGAGACAATTAAATTTTTTACTTCAATTGTTTTTAAATCAAATCATTAAGAGATGAATTAAATTATTTTGGAATGACAAACTTGAATAACATAAGATTTTTTGCTGCATTTAAATTATGGAAAGCTCCACTTTACTTTTCTAAAATCTTGCTTCTAAACATTAAGTTTTTTTTCTAATACAAATTAAGAGCCCAGAAAATTTTAAAAGTAATAATACAATAAAAAGTTAAAAAATAGTAAATAAAGTAATAAAGTACAATAAATTTTTTAAAAAACATTGTGCAATTGGAGGACGCTCCCTCATGTAAAAAAATTTATATTTAAAAATCTCAGTTTATTTTTTTAAAATTAAATGAATAAAAAGGGAAATGGTAATTTTGAGGTGATGAGGCTTTGTGACTCTTGACTTCTCTGACATGAAAATATGTACTCAGTGAATGGTCTGAAATCAAATTCAAAGATTAAGGTACTGATCTATAAATAGAATAGCACAAGAAGGCCATTAGCTTGTCATTGACGAAGACGCTTCACCAACGATTAAATTAACAAAAGAAATAAAATTTTTGATTGCTATTAAAATTTGGCAATGTTTAGTCGGTCCCCATGATCAGCGAAAATTCGAGATTTTTCAGTTTGATTTCAGAGAGCTAAAAATAAAGTCTGAAAGAGGGTCATATACTTTGCAAAATGAAACTGAGTTGCACAAAAAAATGCACAATTCCTTCCCAAAGAATCCAGCTCAGTATATAGGCATATGCAGACCTGCAAGTATTTCACCAAACATGTAAAATGATCAGAGCTTTCATACGCTACGAACCGACAGTACGCCGCAATGGATTGAGGTTGAATGAATAGTGAAAAATAAGCACCTTTAAGCAGTTTTTAAAAACGCTATGGACCCTATTTTAATATTAACAAAAATTGCCCCCCATTAACCCTTTAACGGGCCCTTTATTTTTAGTAAAGGAAAATTAAAGTATTTTTGGAATTGAAATTGTTTTAAGAACAGTAATTGATATATATATATAAAAAACTAATTTAGTTTATAAAAATGGCATTTTTTTTGTGATAAATATATTTAAGATGACCTATTAGGAACTTACTGACTTTTATTTTTCTTTATTTATAAAATAAATTCCTTAAATGCTACAAACTTCAAAAGGAATCATGTATTTTATGACTTTTATACGTTTTTTGAAAGTGACAAATGGTTACCAATTTTATTCAAACTCACTTCAAGAAAGCTGAAGTTATTGAAAAATGGAAACCTAAATTAAAAGTGGTAAAACGCGGTGGTAAGTATACTTACCATGGCCTTCAAAAGGGTTAAAAAAAGGTAATTTTAAAAATCAAGTGCTTTAAATTATTAATTTTTGCAATTAAATCAACAGAAAAAAAATCAGTATGTGACAAAAGTAAACAGGTGTTTCAAACTATCAATATAAATTTAAGACACATGAATCATAATTTTTACCAATAACTAACAGCTGAGCTACCTGATTACACAATTAAGAGTTCAATTTCAAATTGGTAAAGCAGAAGACTTAATGACTTACATACATGCAAAAATTTATCTAATGTATGCCAATAAGAATAGTAACATACTAACTTCAAGGTGATAAATGTAGAAACTAGAGTAAATAAGAAAATTGATGGACTATGAAAATAAACATAATATTCAAATGAACAAATAAAATAATGCATGTTAGTAAACTGGCAACAATTTCTAAAGTTAGAATTAAAGTGAATTAGTATGAAATAAGAGCTATTAATATTCAATATAAAATTTTGCGAGATTGTGATATGAAGTGATAGATAACTATTTGTCTTGTCATATAGTTCAGTTATCATTTTTTGAGATGTAAGACAAAAACAGAATGATTAATTTATTTTCTATTAATTAACCAAAAATAATAAACAATTCTGAACGAAACAGCTCTATTGCCTTTCATTTTAAAATTGTTTAAAAATCAATATAAACATAGAGTTTAAATTTGTTTTAAAAGTTTTAGAAAAATGGTTTCAGCATTCACCTGCAAAAATATGGTTTCAATTTCGAAAGCTATCAAAATTTAAATAATCACGGACTCTGGTTAATTTAAAAACATACATTTAAATATTAAAATATTAGATACAAGTTCATTTATATTTCTGCCTTCTGTGGTAAAATTTCAGAAAATATATTGAGTTAGTTTTGATAAAATAAAGATATTCATATACATAAAGTAATAACGAACAAGCTTCATATTGGGTCAAAGGAAAAATCAGGGTATTTAAAAAAAAAGGGACTAAATGGGGACATTTTTTGGAACAGTATAGATGTATATCAGGCTACTTTCACAAACAGTAAATTAAAAAAATATTAATTGCTCTACTTAAGTGTAATATGAGTAAATTTTATTGCTAAAAAATAAAATATATTATTTTTAAATTTCAGAATTACTTCGTTTAAAAGAGAAAATTTTAAATGTATCCAGCATAATTTTATCAACATAGGGAAATTTTTATAATAATGTTGCATTAAAAAATAACTAGTATCAATTAATATCCCCTCATACCAAGATATAATTAAAATTTGTATTTGAGTTCAAATAATTTTTAAGTAGAGTTTTAAATATCTGAAAATGAAAACAGTGGATGATCTCTCAATTCATCATTTAAAGATTCTATGATATGATTACTGCATTGTTGATTGGAATCTAACATTTTTAAATCAGATGAAAGAGATGAATCAATAACTGAAATTACAAAATTCCACCCTACAATATTTATTACTGCATTTGTTTAAAATAATATAATAAAAATGTGATACTAATATAAAATTGTTTTTAGAGTTTTTCTTCAATAAATTTCTATAATTAAACCAAAATGAAACCTGAGGGTAAAGCTACATGCTTGAACATGCATTAGACTGTTCCTAAATAGGTACTAACATTATAAATTAAAATAAAACGATTGATTGATTCATCAAATCACTTTAAAAATTCGTATTTATTTTCTTGGAAAATTGGATGTACTAAAAACAACCAAAAATAGAAATATCGTGACAAAATATTTTTATTTTTCTGAAAAATCAGGACAACTAGAAACCCTATAAAAAATTGAAATATTTTAAATATCGAATGATATAAACATTAAATATAATAATATAGCACATCTTTCTATCAGAGGGAATAAAAGATTTAAATTAAGAAAAAAAAAATAGGTTGAGAGTAAAATATTTTTTTACTAAGCCATTGGTTTCAGTTAAAAATATTTTATATACTATTAAATATTTATTAAAATTTTAAAAGACATTATTAAATGAATCTTAAGATTATGGTTTTTATAATCTTTATTCATCACATTTAACAAAATAACATAGCATCAACATAACAGATAGCTTCTTTTCAATCACAGTGCTCGGTGGTGAAATTTTTAATTTCAAATACTATCATTTATGCACAATACAATAATTTAAAACCTTACGTATTATTTGTTTTAAACTCTTTACTGCAAGAAAAAAAAGTTTTCTAAAAATTTTTTAAAGCAAGTTTTTTAAATTGCTATCAACTTCATTTAGAACAAAACATCTTTCAATCAACGTGAAATTTTTGCTTGTTTTTATAATAATGCACAATTTTAAAATAAATACCTTGATCCATCAGTAATCGCAAGAACTTCAGGCTCTGGGCTATGCGTCCTACGATGAGAATTATAACCGATCATTGGTCGCATAGGCTGAGGGTTAAAAGTTTGCGCTCTTTGTTGCCACTCTTGATTGAACTGGTCAGCATCATCTAAAAAATAATTTTACAAACAAAATTATTATTTTTAAAAAATTTTGTATGCTAAAAATATAATATTTCATGGAAAATATTCAGTAAATATAATTAAGAAATTCAGAATTAATAAAAGACCAACTAATTTTAACTTTACAAAAGAAAAGCTTTCATGTGATCTTTAAACTTAGGTAAATTAGTAATTTTTGATGAGGAAAGCAGTATAAATACCAGAATTAAACACTTAAAAACAAAAAAATAAATAAATAAAATTGGAGCAGTGTTCATAATAAGGTAGACAAAAACCCACATTTCTGTACAAAAATCAAACCTGCCTGGTTCTTCACATACATTTTATTTTTATTGTACAATTTGTTTTTGGATGTCATATGATACACAAGTTATGGTCCATTAATAAAATTTTTGTTTATAGCAGCTATATTTCATTTAAATTAAGGACAGAGTTGTAGGTAGCCCTTTTTCAAAATGTTTTCATATTTATAAATAAATAGAGAAATGAAAAATTTAATTAATAAGCAACATACAATTTTATAATGCATCTTCATTGCACTAAAATGAAAAGTGTTTTAAATAGATAAATAACTAAATAGAATCATACAGTTAGTATTTAAATTACATAAGTAACTTATGTAATTTAAATACATGACATAATTGAAATGCATACACATTTAAAACTGCCGATAGCAGTTTGAAATAAAAATACACTTCATTCAACAGAATGTATTTTTATTTGATTAATCAAGTATTTATAAATAAACTTTTATTTTGCTTATTATTCTGTTATCAGGACTAGACAAGTCATTGCAAGAAAAGGAGTGAAAAGTGATTGAATTTTTTAAAAAGAAATAGTAACCTACATTAAAAAGAATATAAATGTTAAGCACTTAATGCTGATTTTAAAAAGTATTTTTTATAGCTGTTAATTCATTTTCAAAACAGATTCTCCTCAAAACAATCGTGAAATTTTAACTGCTCAAAATTCTCTAATTATCTTTAAAGCCATTTACTTACTGTTTGCCAATACGCAATAATCATTAGTTTAATTGTTATTTGTAAGAGTTTATAGACTTTTCTACAGAACAATAAGAAAATGACAGAAAGGACGCTGATAGAAAAGTTTCAGGTGTATAGCTAGATTATGCATTCAAACTTGCCTTATTTGGAATTAACTATCACAAGCTTAAGTAACATAACTATGTCATCTGTTTTGTGTACTATCATTCAAAATTATAGTTCCGTTATAATTATGTTCCAGTCTCACTTCAACGATTTAATTTTATAGCGAATGAAATTAAAAAAACAAATTTGCATATTTCACTATCAGAATTGAATTTGCTTATGTTATAATTCTACAATTTTGTCAGGCAAAGTGCAGTGACAAAGGAAAATTGTTAACGGCGATTCTACTAGACTTGAGGCTACTACTACTAGACTGACTACTAGGCTTGCTTATCTTACAAATTTCTTGCTTCTTTTTTACTAAAAGTCAGAACCAATTTAGATAACTATAAATCCATAGGGTGACCTGGGTAATTCCTGATCAAAAAATGCAAACATCTATTTTGTGAAAAACTATTCAAGATAGAATTTTAATATTTACTGGAAGTTTAAGGCTGTATGAGATGAGTCCTATGCTACCTTCTTTTGTTTGAAAATCTAATTAGAATTTAAAAGATTTTAAATTTTAAGTGATCAGGAATTACCCCTTCTCCTGATCAATTCTGGGGTAAATCCTGATCATTTCTGGGGTAATTATTGATCACCAGTTTTTATAGTAAATGGGCTGTTTAAAAATAATTATACAATGGTAATAAGACATTAAGATCAAACAAATAAACCAAAAAGATATGTTTAAGCAGCTAATAAACCGTTTTATTTAAAATCAGGAATAAAGAGACACTTCAGCTCTGGCAACAGCTCTCACACTGAAATTTTCATTTTCAATCATTAAAAGAAATTCACTATTTTTGCTTTCTAGAAGCTTAATATCCGTTTTAAGCTTATAATTTCTCACCATATTTATATTAGGTTAATTTATCAACTTAAAAATTATTCTAACAATGTACACACATAAAATTAAGATAGAAGCAAGGTAAGACAAGCTAGAAATGGTGAGAACACATTTTTCTTGTATTCAGTTAAAAACAAATGTTGTGATTATAGTTAAAATATATTTTATAGTTGCTCCACTTAATAAATATGAACTGTTATTTAAGAAAAGACAATTAACTATTTATTAGCTACTTTTTATACTATTTATAAGAAGAGAAGACAATGATCAGCAATTACCCCATCTGTAGGGGGCAACATTTGATAGAGTTTCCTATAATCAATTATAATGTTTACAGTAGATGTGAAACAATTAAACAAAAGCTTACACTATTTTTATATCAAAGAAAAAGAAAGTAACTCAAAATATTTATTATTAAAAAAGAAGGGGGATCTTTGTAGAAATGTGCACATTTTGAAACCCATCTTTGAAATGGAAAATACAGAAAGCATTTTAAAAGATACTTGTTTTGTTAGATTAAACAAAAAACTATTATTAAGTAAATGTAGTTATACTTTAGTAAAGTGTACAAGCATTCTTGCCCATGTCTCAAATTTAAAAAAAATTTTATTTTTTTCAATAAAACTTAGGTGATCATTATTTACCCCAGAAACAGAGTGATCGTGAATTACCCCGGGTCACCCTACTAGAAAGATATACATAAAAGGTAAATATTTATATTTAGGACACAATTGTGATTAATAAAGAAGAAAAAGAAATGTGTTTTAGTTTGGGTATACTTTTTCCTACATAAATCTGTTGGCAAGATAATTTTTATTATTTTACACAATGGAGAATTACTTGTCATGAAAGCATAACTTTTGCGTGCATCCCATTCAAATTTTTATTTTCTGATTAAACTCTTTTCCTGATTATATTAGTCACCATAAAAACAATTTTAACACAATTCTAAAGATTTTCAATATTACGTGGCTCATTCTATTTTTAAATTAATAATTATTTAATTAATTATGTAAAAAAAGTTTAATTAAAAATTATAAATGTAACTATTATTTAAAAAGGTTATTGAGTGTATTATTTAGATTTAAATAAAGGTTATTTATAAAAGCATATTCAACAAACCATTAACTAAATTAATATTTCTGATCATACTGAATTTATAAAGATATATATAAAGAATTAAGCAAACTAAGAAAATTAATACATTTATATTACAAACGTAAATTAGTGAATGGCTAAAAAAATTTGCATTCTTATTTGTTACTTGGTTCAGTATTTTCTTCAATGAAATGATTAAAAAAATAGAATAATTTTGAATTGTAAATTATTGAAGCTAAACATTTTGTCAGAAGTAAATTATTATATGGTCTCTACATTCGTAACATTTAATAAATCTGAGATAATTGAATTTTATTTCAATTATTTGTAAATAAAATCATTAAGAGATAAATTAAAGTTTTTTGGAATGGCAAATCTGAATTTTTTTACAAAACCAAACATAAAATTTTTTGCTGCATTTTAAGTATTAAAAGATCACTTCATACTATTTAAAATCTTGCTTCTATACATCATTAAATTATCACATAAAACAACTTGAGAGTACTGAAAATTTCAAAAGTAATAATCCAATACTTAATTTAAAAAGAGCAATTAAGTCCAATAAAAGTTTACAAAAATTTTAAAGCAATTGGTGGATGGTCCCTCAGGTAAAAATATTACTTTTTGAAGTTACAATTAATTCTAAAATTTAACGAATAAAAGAGATGGAAATTTTGAGATGATGAAGCTTAGGGATTCTTGATTGCTCTGGGGTACCACATTAAAATGTATAATTAGGAAATGATTCCCAAGTCAAGTTCAAAGATTTTTGAACTGTTCCATAAATAGAATATTGCAAAAAGGACAATAGCTTGCCAGTGACGAAGATGATTCACCAACGATGAAATTAACAAGAGAAATAAAAATTTCTGTCGCTACTAGGAAGAAAAAAAATTGACAATGTTTAGTTAGTCCCTGTAATTAGCGAAAATTCGAGATTTTTTGGTTTGATTTCAGAGAGCGGAAAATGAAGCCTGAAATTGAGAATCTCTCGTGAAATGCATCAGACTTGTACATGAGAGGGCAAAAATTCTTCACACTGAATCCAGCTAATGCGGACTAGCAAGTATTTCATTAAACATATAAAACGATTATAGTTTTCATAAGCTACGAGCCAACGATATGCTGACAAAGATTGGAGTTGAGTTATTTGTGAAAACATTGCATAGAAGAATGTGAAGGTCGTTTCACATGATTAATTCATGGAGAAAATCAACATGGTAAAGAAGATATCTCATTTTAGAAAAGGGAAAATTAAGCACTTTTTAAAAACATCCATTGAAAAAAGCACCTTTAAGGGCTTTTAAAAAACAAAAATTGAAAATAAACACATTTAAGCTCTTTTTAAAAACGCTACGCACTCTGATGTTGTATATTTTACCCCAGAAGTAGAAATGTTGAATAATTATAACCGTAACCAAGTTTTTCAACTAAATTCTTTAACTGAAACTTAATTTGTTAAATTTTTATTTTAGGTGTTTTTCGTCACAAATTTTCCAGTTGTATACTTCCCCTGTAAGTCTTATATCAGGACACCTTATTACAATCAAACACATCTTTTTTAAAAAAAATAAAAACAAATTAACTATTAGAAATTTCATGTAAGAACATTTTTTTTAAAATCCACTTGGCGCAGTTTTAAATTAATATAGCTTTCATATGCTAAATAACTTAAAGAGTTGTTGAAAATTCAAAAACAATTAAAAATTAGTGCAGTTAACTAGAGTGGCAACAATTTTCTTTAAAGTTCTTAATTGATTGGAAGAATTATAATTTTTTTATTCCATCAGAAGTCATAAAAAAGATAAAACTACATAATATATAAGAATATACATGCTAAAATGAAACTGTTTCAATCAAAATTGTTTGCAAATATTCAAAATTAATGAAAAATATCAGTTTTAAAAACAATATCAGAATAAGTACTTGCACCTATGATAGGTTGGTATAGAATATAGATGGTTTTGTATCAGTTTAAATGGTAATTTGTACTTAGTACTTGAAAATATCTAGTACTTTAAATGAAATACATCATAAAATTAACACGAACATAATGTATAAATTCATTTCAGAATTATCAGATTTCACTAAACCCTTGCAAAAAAATAATAACTTAATAATTTTTTTTATATTCTACCTTTTAATATTAAAACTATACCTTATAACTTTGTATTTTGTAACTACCAAGAAACAGTATTCATTTAGACTATTTTGAGGAAATAGGTCCAGCAACAGTTCAACTTGCATGAGTTAGAAAGCGCTAACAAGAAAGAAACAATTACTTTGGACCTAGTTCAATAAACTCATTAATAATCTATAGGCTCATTTAAGATTTGTTCCCAATCGGACCATTTTTCAAACTAAAACGAGAGAGTTCACAACTTAAAATTGACGTTACTTTGACCTGCATTGTTAATATATCGTCCATATTTTTCTGCTTTAATAATAATACATCATATTTAATAATTTTTCCATCCAGGTTGCACAATTATTCTTAAGTCTGTAGTTCAAGCAAATAAAAATTCAACAAAACTATATTTAATAAAAATAATTGAAGCTCAACTTTATGATTTTCATACTTTTCATTAAGATAAATAACAGGTGCCAAAATTATAAAATTTTTGTGACAGATTTCCAGATGGTTTTATAAATTTCTATTTCAACAATATATTGCTGACAAGATTTTAGCAGATATATAGTGAGAATGAAGCAAGTTTAAAAGCGCCATACTAAATGTCATTATGACAGAACACAAGAAACTAATAGCCTGAGGAATGCAAGATTTGAAAGGAGCACATAATTCAATTGTTCGGCAAGATAATCAGCTATAAAGTGCAAAACTAATTTATTAAAACGACTACTAAATGAAAAATATTCATAATTACCATCCTCTAAGTTAATAAATTCATGGTTTTCTTCTTCATCGCCTGTGTATCTATTTTTCTTTTTTTCTACTACATGACCTCTCTCATGAAGGTGATGTCCAATAGCCATTTCTTGTAATCCAGTTCGGCTATCTTGAACTGAGCGCATTGTTTCTTTAACCTATGAAATAAATTTACTTTACATCAATAATTGAAAATTTAAAAGTAGAAACTAGGTGATTTAAAAAAAATATTTACACAGAAGTAAAAAAAAAAAAAAAAAAAAAAATTAGNAAAAAAAAAAAAAAAAACTCTTCAATTTCAATGGAATTTAAAGAAACAAAATGTATAAAAAATGTACCATCCTGTTCCAGGCTCAGCCCCAATACTTTTTTTTTTCCACAACATTTTTGCCCCATTGCATAATGAAGTTTACTTTGCAAAGAAATTTTTGCAACAACTTTATCAAATAGCTTAGCCAATACTTTGAAAACATGTTGGGTAAAAGTTAAGGTACTAATTTCTCAGTGATTTGTTTTTAATTCCTTTTTCTACTTCCTTATTCACTGCTACATTTTTAACTACTTTGACTGATAAGGAGCTTTAGCTCTTGATAACAACTAGTAGTAACATAGAAACAATATTTAAAGCACAACTAAAGATGTTACAATCACATTAAATCATTCACAAGAAATGCATGTGACTAAAACCAAAATAAAAATTTTACTTCCAAAAAAAAAAAAAAAAAAACATTCTTTCAAACTGCAAAGAAAGATTTGGTAGGCAAAACATGTGTCCAAGTCCTTACTAAGCAGGGTTCGTGATTTTTTTGATTATTTTAAAAGAAATCAGATTATTTTGATTTTTATTCAAATACACTATAAGAGTTTTAATTTATGATTAAAAAAACTTTATAAATGCTTAATCAAAATTAAATTAATATTAAAACTATATTATAACAATATTTTAGAAGCTCCAACTGACTAAAATAATTTTTCATTATAATGCATAGCGACCATTTTGATACAAAGGCATGATTGAAATTAAAAGACAAGATAAAATAGATAATTTAAAGAATACTACTTTAAATAGTAACACAAAGTTTCCAATAGCACACCATAATTTTAATTTAAAATTGTGATCTCTTTTTTTTTTCTTCTCATGATTTATAAAATGGCAAAATAAATGCAACATATTGTGTTTCTAAATGTTGTCATTCATCAAAAAATAAATATTCAATCTATATATTTTTATGTTAAAATATTCATTTTTAATCCTTTATCAAAATACATAAGTTAAGCTAAAAAACATTTTTAAAAAAATCTATGTACTCATTGGAATTTTTTTTCACAAAAGAAAATCTGATAATTTCAAAGATACCGTAAACATATTATGAGAAGAAAAATAAAAACCAGTTAATAACCCTACTGCTTCAAATAGACTTTGATAGGGAAGAATGACACTATATCAGGAAAAAAATATCNTGGGTTTCTCCAATAGGACTTCCCAAAAATTTTAGTTTTTGGAACATGGTCGGAAATTTTCAAAATTGGGAGAAAAAAAGCGGATTTCCGCTTTTTCGTGGAAGTCTTTCATCCCTTGGAGACGTGAACGGCAAAATGATCTCCAATGACTCACGGCAATGCGGATTAATATTTGAAACTGAATTCAGGTTTGCCAAATTTTGGACGTTTTGTCTCAGAATGGCGCAGCTTTGGCAGAAACTGAGCTGAATGTCGCAAAATGGCGCAGTTATGCCATTTTGTCTCAGTTAGTCGCAAATGGCGCAGGCGTAGCATCCCTGATATATATAAAAATCAGTTGATTTAAATCAATGATTTTTTTAAAAAAATCATTTGATTTTAATCATGATTTAAATCAAGCTGATTAAAATCATTCGTTGATTTAAATCAAGCTGATTTAAATCAATGAACCCTGTTACTAAGGGGTGAAAATATTTATATGACTAATTAATAAATGAAGTAGGGAAGGAACCTTTAATTTTTTGTAGAAAGATTGTCTCAGGAAAAAGTAAACCTTTCTTTATTTTTATAAAAATATTTTGTAGGGAAAAATCTAATTAATTAATTCAATTAATTTTTAATATTTTTAAACAATATTCTAGAAACCAAGCAAAATATTCAAATTAGCCCAATTTGACTGATTTCTACTATTCAATTAAACAAAAAAATAATAGAAAATTAAATAGTGAAATATTTTTATTCTTTACTTATAGCTAATAAGCTATACTTACTCCCCCTGGAGCCATTCTAGTAGATGCAGATGCTTGATAAACTTGAGGACGACCAGTTTCATCTGTAGTGTAGGTCATCACAGAGGAAGAAGAAAAACTATGACAATTGGGATTGGTCATTTGGTTCTAGAAGAGAAAAAAATAATTAAGCAAAGCAGATAAAAAGTAAATCAAAAAATTAATACTCAATTAATTTAATATTTTACCCATTAGTACTTATGCTGTTATAAGCCACAGAAAAAAGTAAAACTTAATAATTTTTTGTTTTTATAATATAAATAGCCCTTAACTTTAAGGCATGTCAGGCGATGGTATCTACATGTAAAAATGCATCAATAAAGTGAATATCAGGCAATGGCAATACCAGAGTTCTTTTGCTTTTCAAAAGCATTTTAAACACAAATGCAAATTTAAATTTTACTTGCAACTATTATTACAAGTTGATGGAAGTGAAAAAAATGTCAACAAAAGATTGTGGTTGGATGCTGTCAAATCAGTGCCGATTACATAACAAAACACTGTAATTATTATTACATAACAAAACACTGTAATATTCTTCCTCTAAATATCATTAAAATGTTTAAAAAAATTTTTTTTTGTTTTTTAGTTACTATTACTCGATCAAAAATTAAGCTTAAGATAATGGTACTAGAAAATTTTGATGAATGTTTATAACATTAGCACTTAGGTAAACTTTTATGAATCGCAGCTAGTCTACCAATTTCTAGCTTAATAGTTAACATTAAAAAATCTTTAGAATTTGAAGCAATTCTTAAGACATTGCATATGATGCTATTGTCACGCACCCTCACAGAACTATAGCATGCTTGTGTGTTTTTCATTATTATTATTTTTTTTTTTTACTTAAATAGGGTTTGGGGTTTGTTTAACAATGCAATATGAACTATAGATTAAACAAATTTTATAAATAAATTTATATAAGTGGAATATTATTAAAAACTTGTAACATTACGTTTGAAGCTATATTACAGCATTAAAAATTATCTTACAGTGATATATATTGCAAGCAAATACACCATTCAAATTTATTGAAAATGTAATTAGCATTCATAACTAAAAAATGGGCCCAATTAAAAAATTAATTTCGCAGATTTTTATTAAAATTATGAAGATTTGACGATTGTGTTTTAATCCTCGGAACTGATAAAATTTTTGCTGATGCTCCGATTTTTTCAGAAAAAAAAAACATATGTAGTAATTACTTTTTACAGATGTATAAAAACTGAATTAAACTTTTCAGGGCCTTTACTTCAAATAAAAGAATTTTAAGATTTTTTTTAAAATTATCATTTCAAAAGTACTAATGTATTTTCTCTAATTGAAATTTTTTAATAAAGCAATGTATTACATTAAAACTATGAAAAGAAGAAAAAAAATTCGCAATGCTTTGCCAATTTTAAAAAATAATTTCTTAAAAAAAAATTTTAAAAAACATTTGCTTTAAATCAACAAACATCACAAAAAGCATTATTGATTTTTAGAGCAGCCATATGCTAAGTAACCAAGCTTAATAAACATATATACTTGAACTTTACATGTAAGGTGCATAATTACGGAAGTGATATTCATTAGAAAAAACATAGATATTCATAATACATTATTATACTGTAGCTCCATTGACCAGATGAATTAATAAATGATAGAAGCATCTTAAAATTATGCTTAAATTTAAAAGTAAAAAAAAAAAAAAAAAAAAAAAAAAAAAAAAAAAATTAATGATAGAAGAAGAGATTCAAGTGAAAAGAAATCATTTAATTAAACTGATAAAATCATAAAATAATTTTCAGGGTAGCCCACTGCATTAATTGATTTATCACCGGACAGACTTAGAAAAAATGAAAAACTTTCTGCGAACACAAATTTTCAATTAAGGAACTTCTTGTGTGTATTGACAGACTCTTGTAGATAGCTTCAACCCTTTTCGTCATCACCTAATTTTGGAGAATTTGTTTGAAAATCGCTGATTTTTTTTAAAAAAAAATTAAGCAACTATATTGATTTAACCACACACATTAGATTGGTAAAAAAATCGAAAAAACTAACACTAAAAATCTGAAAATGATATGCGTAAAAACAAACTAATGTGCATAACTTATGCAACGAAAGCGATGCCAATAAAAATGTGCTATAAGTAACTGTCAGAGAAAGGAAGGGAAAAAAAAAATCGCAGAAAATCTGGTGCAGATGCATAAAAAATCAGTTAAAATTTTAATAAAACAATACTTTTACTTACAAAGCCAGCAAACATATCGTCCATATTAGGAAATAGACTACCACCAAATCCAAATGGCATTAACATGCTATTATGAGAAGAACTCCTATTCAGCTGTTGTCCATGAGGATCAAAACCTCTGTGTCTTCCAAATAAACCAAATGGGGACATCATATTATCCATCATAGATTCCATTCTTCTCATGGATTCCATTGGTCCACTAAAAAATTAAAAACTTTATTAAAAATTTACAATAATAAAGTTGAGTTCATAAAAAATTTATAATTAACATTTTCAGTATAATAGATTTTGCAAAACTTCTTTTCTAACTATTTATGCTTTGTTTAACCACTTTAAATAAATTTTAAAAAATTTACTGTTTGAAAATATTAATTTTACTAAAATTTATAACAGATTGCTAATACTAAAATAAATTTTTTAAGTGTTTACATTTTTGGTTGAATTAGAATATCTTCAAATTGTCAATGACAGACTTAGTATAGTCTTACTCCAACTACAAGCAGAAGGAACTTAATTAAAATTATTTAATTTAATTTAATTAAAATTAAAACAAATGTCTATTTCATTTAAATTTTAAATATACAAAAATTCATTTTTCCTAACGTTGCAAACAGGGTTGGCAGGTTTTTGACATGTGACAGTTTTTGACAGTTTAAACCATGGTTTAAACCGTCACGTCAAAAACCTCACTGTCAAAAATGTCGAAAATGTCAAAAACCTATATTCATATGTGAAATTTACTTAATACATAAAATTTATATATTTTTTATAAAGGATAGTGTTTCTAAATATGTTCTAGAAAAAACAAATTTAAAATTTTGAAGAAACACTTATATTTTGAATAGTAACTGAAATCTTGTACTTTTGAAAGCTCGCATCTTTTGTAATATTATGTATTCATTTTCATGTGTAATTGAAAATCTGCAGTGATATTATTAAGAAATTTATTTATAACCAAATTTAGTGTATAGTATAGATTATACTAAAAATTAGACATTTTTAAAGATAAACATTAGCAGTTTTGTACATTAGACATCTTTTAAAGAAAAATCTTTTTAATATTCTTTTAAATCTTCTTAATAATCTTTTTAACATAAGACAATACAAATTTAAGTGCTTTCTGTTAAATACACAGAGTAGTTAGTGTCGATTTACAGTATATTCAGCCTATTCATTTACTATGCTGAAAATTTAGTTTATCCAAATACTTGTGAATTTCATTTTGCTGAATACTATATAGTTTTGTTGAATATCTAAATATTCAGCTGTTGAATAATTACTTCTTGCTTTCAAGATATGCATTATTTGTATTCTTAATACAAGTGGGGAAAAAAAATTAAGAGGTAAAAATTGTTTTAAAATGATAAGTGTAATAATTATAAATAAATATAATAAACAATATGAATTATATTTATCATTATTCACAAATATAACTACTTTTAAATTCAAATTAACATACTGGATAATAAAGATATTCGGTATAACATTAAAAATTTTTTTTATACACTTGTATCAAGTTTGTATTTATACAACATAACTTGTAAGTTCCTTATAAATATTAGTTATATGTTCCTTATATGTCAAAAATGCATAGTAATAAACTTTTAATTTTCTTAAGTATCAAAAAAAAAAAAATTTTTTTTTTAAATATAAATATTTAAACAATTTTTGTGCAAAATTTTTCTGCACATGCATTTGAATATAAATTTCTGAGATTTTAAATCTGTTATTTTACCTTAATTTTAATTAAAAAATATTTTAAAACCTGCTGATTACCTATAGTATAATTAAATTTCAATATAATGCATGGCAACTGTTGGTAGTTTTGAAGTTTATATATTTTTTTGGCAAACTTTAGTTTTTGACATTTTTGACGGGTTTTTGACGGTTTAAACCAGTATTATACCCTTGTCATGTCAAAAACCTCTTTTTGACGTCAAAAACCCAACCCTGGTTGCAAATCTTAAAAAGATCTTTAATGATAAAATGGTTAAAATTGAAACACATGGAAAAAAATTACAGAAAGATTTCCATATAAGTATCGATCTTAAAATGATTGGACAAGTTTTTGAACCATCTGGACAATGGTCCGTAAGAAACTAATAAAAAAATCACAGATTTTTTTATTAGTTTCATGCGGGCCATTGGCAACTCTACCAACTCGTAGCCACCACATAGGCAAATCTCTAAAAATATATCTTTTCAAATTTTTTTTACAAGTTTAAAATACCTTTGACACACTAGCTATTACATTTGCAGGAGTAATTGTGACACAAAATGAAAAACCCTGAAAATTTTATGGACAAAAAATTGATATCAAGATAACAATTTACAAACTAAAATTTTTACATATTTTAACATAATTTTTTAAACTAACCTTTATAATTTAATTATCTACCAATAAAGAATATCACATCTTTGTAACTAATTCAAAAAAATACTTCTTACAAGAACTGCGATTTTGTATTTTAAAATTGCGTGAATATGAATTGCAAAATTGGATTTAAAAATCGTGTGAATTGAGATATTGGACGCCATAAATACAAATTGCGATATTGAAAATGCATGAATATGAATTACACTATTGGATTTTTAAACTGTGTGAACAGGAATCTTGATGTATGATTTTTATATTGAGTGAATATGAATTGCAACGCCTAACTTTTTAGTCAGGTAAATACAAATATCGATTTTGATATTAAAAATTGTGACATCACAGTTCCAAATATTCAAAACAGCAAAAATTAGCCAAACCAAAAGAATCAAATTGGCAGAAGAATCACGTGATACATCTCTAACAGGATTTAGCATAAGTTTTTTTGTTGCAGTCGGATTAGAAGTTTTTGGATTCTTGGAAGTTCGCAAAATAATTTTCTTGAGATATGAGGCGATACTCAAAATCTTTGTGGAAAAATTACATGCCCCGCTTTTAGTTTTTAGGCACAGAAGAATTCGGAATTTCAGGGTACATCTGGAATACAATCACCTTTGTATTTGGTGCAAACAGGTACCAATATGGAAACATATCCCTAAAAATCACAATATCATAAATTATTTTCTTGACATACGATGCAATAGTCAAAATCTTTGAGGAAAAATTACATGCCCTGCTTCTAGTTTTTAGGCACAGAAGAATTCGGAATTCCGGGGTACAATCACCTTTGTATTTGGTGCAAACAGACACCAATATAGAAACATATCCCTAAAAATCACAATAATATCATAAATACTAACATAATGTTTAACACCATTAGCTTGAAACCTCAACAAGGAGAAGAGCGAAAGAAAAAAATCAAACTAGATTTAACATGAACTTTTGTTAACACAAAAGAAATCATAAACCAGGAATTAATGCATTGTAACTAGTTAAAAAATGTAGAGTTTAGTTAACGTTGATTACAAATAATAAATTTTGAACACATTTCACACAAAAGTTATTTTCAATTTATCAGGCTTCAATTTTACATCAAAATCAAACTACGATTCTTAGGACATCTTTCAATTGCACGCCAAACATTTTTAAAACTAATAATTATGAAAGTATATAATTTTGATACCTAATTTTGATTATTATTATAACAATCACTTCTCAATTATGTTAAATCCACAAAAATAAATGTTTCCCTCAACATACAACATTTATATCAAGGTAGCTGGCAGCTGATCCACTTGACCAAAGTTGACTTAATTGTATCTTGTAAAAATATACGTAAACAAGGAAATCTTTTATACCAGTACTTGCTTGCTTTAATTGATATAGCCAAATAAAACTGCCCTATTTAAAAAATAGAAATAAATTTTTAAGAAATATAATAATTTTTTTTCTCCTGTGGTGAAGAATTACGTTTACTAGATGAAGTAACATAACTTATTCATCGTGTTTCCTCCACTATTTATGGAGAATTTACGCGTTTTAACGCGTTAGCGGAATCACTAATATGTCAACGAAAAAAATTTAATGGAGTTCAGATAATTATGCAAATTTATATTAAAGTTTCAACAATAAATTTTAAAGCAATGAATATTAAGAGAAAAATAGAATCTAAATTAAATAAAAAGTGCCATTACTAATGAAATGAAGACTTCGAACATTCATTAGATTATAACACAAGCATACAGCTATTTAGAAGCTATAGAAAAAAAGATTTCAACAAATAGCTCAACAATGATATCTGCTAAACATTAAAATCTCAAACAAAAAGATTAATTTTTCACATCATTTTTAACATAGCACATTTTAAGATTAATTGTAAACAATTTGAAGAGTAACCCATATTTTTTTTTTCTTTTTACCTGAAGAAAGGATCGTCATCAAAACCTCGCAACATAATGCAAATTTTAAACACTACCAAAGAATTTAAGTAAAATCAACTTCTTCAATTAAAAAATTTTCAAAATTTACAATATTAGTACAGATTACAGTAATAACAAATATATATTTTAAAATAATATCTAACTCAATGAAGCAGACGCAATCGAACACCTTCGTAATTATTCTAAAAATTGACCAACAATCTGCCAGAATGCCAATTCTGCTAGATGCTAGAAATTTCTGTGTTTTCTGACGTCATCATGCGCATGAAGATAAACAAATGAAATCGAAAGAAAAAAGACAGAACCTCAAAAATTTATAACATTTTCAACAAGAAAATATTATTATAATATTTTACATGTTCTCAAACATATTTTTATCACAAAAGACAAACATTGCCTTTAAAAAAGAATTTTATCAAAAATATGTTTTTCTGGAGTTATAAAGAATTTTAAACAAAATGTTTAATTTTTTTATAAACTCTAGTCATTCAAAATTTTAAAAATTATATGTTAAAAGTTTATAATTTCATAATTGATTTAAGATGAATAATGGTGGCATAAGTAAATAACAAAAGTAAATAAACAAATCAGGCAAATGGAGGCCTACTTGAATTTTCAACGAATTTAAAAACTAGCTCAATATCTCTATAATTTTCTATGTATTAATTATTTTATCATGAATATATCTTAAATTTTTTGAATACTGAATATTGTTCTGAAATTCAAAATGGGGGACAGGGAACAAAGAGCAGAGCAAAATAAATCTGGTAATAATTTTTTATTTTATTCTTAATTAAGAAATTTCTGGCAAATCTTGTAGTTCAATTTTGTAAACAATTTTTTTATTCAATTAACTCTATGGGGAAATTTCCATGTGGAGAAATCACCATTATGGTTTAACTTGCAAAATTTTAAAAAACAAATGTATTGGTTACCTAGGGATTGACGGGTGACAAGGTATACCCTTCAAGTTCGTCCTCTTTTGTGATGATTTTCGTTTCTTTCTTTTTTTCTCTTATCCGACTGTCACTAAAATTTATTGTCTTTCATGTCCTTTTTTTCAAAATTATTCATCCAGCTTTTAATTTTTGCAGCTGTGAGTTGGTAAATAAAGATGGTTTCAAAAAATAACAGCTGTTTATTTAATTTGCTCATAAACAAGAGTAACCAGGCACATCACTGTACACCTTTTAATCATAGAAATTTTTAGGTATTTAAAAATTAAGATAAGTTTCTACAGTATGTAATTTAATTGATAATTTTTTTCAAACTTCGTGCAACATTTGCCTATATTACTAACCGAACTGCATTTACCTATTCATTATTATTTCTTTTACTTCTTCTTCATAAAGGAAGAGTGAGGGAGTTTATGAATATGACCTCATAGGGACATCTTATCTCTCAATTTCTGATGAAACTGGTTCATTAGCTTTCGGAAGTAAGAGCTAGCGAGTGATTCAAAAATGGGTTCGAAGTCATGGAGAAAAATAAATTTGTTGAGGAAGATATAAGAATGGTTCTTAAATGATACCTGTGCCTATTTTTTTCACCGTAATTTAAAAATCTAAATAATGAGGTAATATTGTCTATTTTTATTTGAAGAAGAAAAAAAGAGAGAGAAAGTGAAGTTTTGTAAAAATTCCGAATTGTCTGACAAAATTTACAGAGTAGTGAAAATCCGAATAGTGAATGCCACCTCCCGTGACATCCCGACTGATCTGCTTACTCTCTCAATTGCAAATCTGAACAAATGCTTAGAGCAACATAAAAAGGAAAGATTTCCTTATTGGTACCTGTGCCAAAAAGCCGCTAAATTCTGGTAGGACTTAAGAAATCACAAAAGGGAACCAACTCGAAGGGTATAGCTTGTAGCCACACCAGGCTAACCACTACTTTTCTTAAAAAATTTTGCAAGCACAAAGACTTTTTTGCACCTTGGTGATGGTGGTTTGTAAAAACAGGTATTAGTATGGGAATATTCCTTCAAAAAAAATACGCAAAGATTTTTTCTGGTATTACAAAAAATGACTGATAGTAAGTTATAATGATAAGACAACTAACTTAAGTTTTTGTTTTTATCAAGATAAGTATGTTTAAGCTTTTGATGATAGCTGATACAACTGGTGTCTCAAAATAACGGGAGTTAGTATACTAAGCTTTGTAACTAAAATGTTGAAACTAAAATAAAATACAGTACAGAACACGTTATCCGGAAATCAGAAAACCAAAAAACCGGAACGAAATTCGATTAGTTTTCCCGCCATTTTTAAAAAATTTTTTTCTCATAAGATTTTAGGATTTTTCGTTCTGTTTTGAAAGATGTTACCTTACCATCATTTTGGAAATAATCATTAGTGTATTACTTCATCGTTTTTTCTTCTTTTTAAGATTATTTTTAAATATTTTTTTTTAGTTGGGTTTAACTATAAAAAAAACGGCATTTTGTAGCGATTCAGAAAACCGGAAAAATCAGTTATCCGGAATATTGATGGTCCCGATCGTTCCGGATAATCGGTTCCCTACTGTAGCTTCCTATTGCTCAAAGTGCAGGCAATTATTGAATGCATAACAAGTTGTTCATTGAACTTGATCTGTACTATTCCATAGTAATTGTAGAAAACAATTCTCTCTTTTCTTTTAATATTTAAATTATGAAAATTTTTTCAGGAATAAAAACTATGCAACTAAATGACCAGAAAGCTGGTATGCAAGGTTTGGATAAGGAAATGATTAATAAGATTATATATGAAGCATCGAAGGGAACACCCTATTTTACTTTTCAAGAAAAAAGACAAAAATCAATTGATTCTAAGGTGACTGAAATGAATTTAACTTTGGAAAGAGCCACTGCTCAAGAAAGAAAGACTTCGCTTCAAAAGGTGATTTTTTTGTCACATTTTCGACCATCATACAATGTTACATTTTCTGTTTTTAGTTTAGAAATATTGTTTCTTATTTCCCTGCGTAATATAAGTAAAAAAATCAAATTTTCTTTTTTTTTAAAAAAAAAAGAATTTATTAAAATTTAAAGTAAGTTTAAAATGTTAAAGTAAATAGTTTACAAATTTAAATTAAGTGCTTGAAATAAATGTATTTCATAATATTTTGTTATGCTATTTGTTGAATTTTATTTTAAAACCCAATTTAGTTAAATTTCATAAATTTTAAATATTTTTTTGTGGTTATTTTGGATTTCTTCCAAAAGAATGTCTAATCTTGCCTAGATTGTAAGAGTATTGTATTATTTCTTATTTTCCTTATGTCATGTGAAATTATAAAAATTGCTTTGAAAGGGTTGAAAAAATCTAAAATTATTAGTAAGTCAGGAGTATGAAGAAGAAATATTTTTTAAAGTAGTATAATGTTGCGTGATATTCCATGAGATATGATTTCTAGATTTGATAATTTTTTGCAATGTTATATTAAGAAGTGGTTCCGGATTTACAAAAATGTCCCAATTATATTTGTATTTGGCAATTTTTTTTTTAAAATCATCTTAAATTATACCAAACCCAGCTCTGTTGCAATGGTGAGTCCAAACATTTTTGTGTAAGGTCTTGTTTTGGAAAAATTATGAAATATCCTACTCAAAATTGTGTGAATTTCTGAAAAATGAGGTCCTGTTTTTGTAAAGAACTAGTAATCTGTGTAGATTATTTCGGAAAAGTCCTATTTGGGCAAATGTTTGAAAAATCTAGTCATTATTTTTGAATCTAAAATTGTCATAGAATCAAATTCTTTCTGCCACTGTTAATTCATTAATATCGAAAATAAGATTTCTGTGAAACAACGCAAGAATCATAGCCTCAGAGGAGTTTTTTTAAAATTATGAATTAAAAATGTTATCAGCTCTTCTTTTTAAACCAAATATACTGGGAAGAGGCTATTTTTAAGGTAACTTATTTTGTGAAAGAGCTAGTTTTTTTTAAAGTTTTTTTTTATAAAATTTTGGGTGATGATTCTGTTTACTAGCAAATATTGTGAAGGATCCATTTACAGACTCAAATTTTTCCTAAAACTTCCCCTGTAGTGTAAAAAGTATCATGAAAAATATATCTATTATTCGAAAAAAAAAAAACTGTTTTAAAATTCAAGCTGATTAAACCATTTATTAAATTGCTTAGTGTACTCATTTCAGATGACCAAACTTGCCTCAATGTTTGAAATTGAGAGAGACCTCTCACATTCTATTGTTCATATTGACATGGATGCATTCTATGCTGCTGTTGAAATGGAAGACGATCCATCTCTAAGAGAAAAACCTATGGCAGTTGGTACTTCCTCTATGTTGGTAAAAAATTTGTCTCCTCATTTACTATTATTATCTAACTTTTTTATACTTATTTGAAAGCGTTCGAAGCATTTAAATTCTAAACTTATTGATCTTATTTTAGCGAATACTCCAATCAAGTTTTCATTACATGAAAATTTTTGTCACAAATTAAGACCATGCTTAACGCTAGAAAACTGGGTCATTTACCATGGCAACCAAAAATGAGTTTATTCATGAATTTATTCAAGCTTATTGAGTCTAGCAATTTTCACTATTTTGTATTTTTAAAATTTTTATATTGTTACAATATTATTCAATTGTAGTTGATACACAACATGTTTTTATGTTTGATATTTTATAGTTGTTATTGCAATCGGAGTTACTTTCTTCTTTTCGGAAAAACTTTATAATTACCACAAGGCATTTTGTAACAACTTTTAGAAATCATTATAATGTACTTTGAAAAAATACCAAAATTATAACATTAAAATTTCAAAGTATCGAAATCAAGGTGTCAAGAGAGAAAAATCTTTTAGCAAATAAATTTTTATTAAAAAAAAATTTTCTTAACCAAAGCATATATTCTAAGGATTTTTGAATAAATTAGAGATATAATTAATTTAGAAACAGTGGAAAAAAATAATTCTATTAAAGAAGAATTCAAATCGATTTTTATATTGAAAATATACTTATCTTTTGAGACAAATCGATGCTCCTCTTATTACAGAGTGAAAATTTAGTAATATCCTTAGTGTAAAAAGTCACATTTTATAAAATTTACTTCAATGCAGCCAAAAAAGTAAGTTTTTTTTCCTTGCTGGTCTTTTCTGGAAAAAAACTTTTTAAGTTTGACTTTTTTGAAATAAATTTGCTTTTACATTTCAATTTGTTTTACTTTTCCTACTTTTATTTTACAGTCTACATCAAATTACCTGGCAAGAAAATTTGGAGTTCGGGCTGCTATGCCAGGCTTTATTGCTAAAAAACTTTGCCCTAAGCTCATCATTGTACCATGCAACTTTGAAAAGTACCGAAAAGTGAGCAAAATGGTCAGAAATGTAATTAAAAACTATGACCCAGACTATAGCTCTTCTGGTTTAGATGAATTTTACCTGGATTTAACTGAATATATTAAACTTGAGCATAAAAGGCAACAACATAAGAACTTTTGCATCACAAATAGTCAGTGCAGCTCTGTCTCTAAAGAAGAAGATAATGGTGATGAAGAAACTGATTCGTATAAAGAATGCTTGACTTGTTCTCAGTCGATGAATGTTCAAGAACGAGACCAGCAATCTTACGATATTGTGAATGAGATAAGGAGGAAAATTCAAGAAGCTACAAATTTAACTGCTAGTGCTGGTAGGACTCTTTAATAAGAATAATTTTTCAACTTGATATTATTTATTCATCCTAATAACTTTGAAGTGTGTTTATTATTGATATTAGGAATATAAAATCTGAATAAATTGAAAAAGTCTAAAAATGCAAAAGTCAACTCTTTATGGTTATGTGTTGTACTTCGTTGTTTCATGAAATGTGTTATCTCAATGCTCACATAAAGACGTTAAATGTAAATGATGTTAAGTTCATCATTTACTTTTGATTTTTGCACATTTGCTTTGTTTTTGCAAGCCTATTGTGTTCATAAAAAATATGTAATGCATATTATTTCACAGGAATTGCCCCTAACACAATGCTTGCAAAAGTATGTTCGGATCAGAATAAACCAAACGGGCAGTATCAAATACCATCTACACTTGAAGCTGTGCAAAGTTTTATATCTACATTACCAGTCAAAAAGGTATGTCTTTATATCTTTATAAAAAATTAAGTTATAGTTTTAGAATAAATATTATTTTTATTGAATTATAATTTTAGATGTGATGCCATATGAAAAATCAGTAGTTTGTTGCTATTCCTGGCAAGTACTTTTAACATTAGTTTAGTAAAAAAAAAAAAAGTTCAAATGCAACTAATTTTTCAAATCTGATTGGTAAAAATATACGTGGGTTCAATGGATGTAATGAGAATACCACTGTGGCCAAGCATTAATAAGAATTATGTATAACTAATAATTAAACTAGTCATTGTAAATAATAGCTAATTTATCAGTTTGACCCCTCTTTCAAATGTTAATATACACTCATGAAACATTTATAATAAGTCCATCTCATCCTCATCTAAAGTATAAATTGGGAAAATTTTCGGAAATAAATACTTTCGGATTTAATACTATTTTTTATGTTTAAGAGGAAAGTCTTATGAATATTTGCTATCATCTCAAAAAGTATTTTCTCCTGAGTATTTTGAGCTTTGAATCTTTATGAAGATGACATCATAGTAAATATAAGCTTTATAAAGATGACATCATAGTGAATGGGGAATAAATTTTCCCCATTTTCTGCGTCATGAATTTTTCTAAATATTTATTTATAAGAACACTTACTTTTACCTGTCAGCTGGTTTGTGGATGGTTTATGATATTACAGTCTATAGCTTAAAATTGGGAAAGAACTTTGGGATGGGAATTGAACTTTGATTTGTATGTGCATAGATATCAGGATACATCATAATATTCTATAATGTAACTAGATGCTATATGCAAATAACAATGAGTTTTTACTGATATTGATGCATATGACTTTTAATTTCTCTTGTTTTTTAGATTTTATTTGTATTTTCTATCCACCAATATTATTTTTTAGAATTGCTCATTTGGATAATTGAGGAAAATTCAGGCAATTTTTTTTTCCAGATACTATATTTATAAATATAAACCCTTGTAACGTAAAAAATATCTGGTAATTGTCTAAACTTTTTTTTCAAATATTTCTCATTCTGATGTAAAATAAATGGCTGTGGATTATTCATGTGTATTTCAAAGCTAAAAAATTGCAAATATTTTTATTAAAAATTTTCTTGCCATCTACTTTTGTTTTAAACAATATTTTTAATAGGTTTCCGGCATTGGACCAGTTCAAGGACAAATTTTGAATGCTTTAGGTATTTTTACCTGCGTTGATTTGTGGACTAATCGTGACATTGTAGGCTTATTATTTTCTCCCTCTACAATTGATTTTTATATAAGAGTTGCTATTGGTCTTGGGAGCACCACTGTGAAAAGGTAATCACAATTAGGTAAAATTTGTATGAATGATGTACATGTCCTTAGACTAATTAAAAAATCCAGCTCTTTGTAAGCTGCCAAAATCATTTGTTAGGTTTATTGCAGTGAGCTTTGGACGTGCTTTGCAAAGTGAAGTTCTCAGTCTGCAAAAAGCTGGATTTTCATATTAGCCTAAGGCATAAACATAAACGAGTGACATTTTTTTTACATCTCTTTGTTTCTCTCTTTCATTCTGTGGTTTGATATTGTGTAAGGTGCATTGTATTTATATTCATTGTAAATAGAATAAGTGTCTCAAGGTTTCACGATTTTCCTACTCTCCACACTTCCCCTCTCCATTACCAAGATATCTGCACTAATCTTACTTTTTCCTCACTTCAGTGTGAGTTTCATGCTTAAATGAACTGCTGTAAAGAAGGAGCGAGATTTTACCCTTCTTAGTAACAGAAAGGGGGGAAATGTAGAGGGTGGGAAAATCATGTAACCTTGAAACTCCCATTGTATTTACAAAGAGTAGAGAAAATTATTGTATTGCTGTTTTTGTGATGTTACTTGTGCTTTCATGATGTTATTTCCACTTTATATATCAAAAAAATAATCCTTTCTTTTTTTTTTCTTCCTTATAACCTAGCTCAGTTTTCATCTGTTTGAAAATTTAAGACAAATCTATAATAATAAAATGGCGAGTTTATCTGTGTGTGTCCCTTGAATAACTCCATGTTGTCCTGTCTTATTCCATGTTGTTCTGTTCATAAGTCCTTTTAAACATACCAAATGTGTCTCTAACACATGTTGCTGCTGCAGCATTCTGGAAAAAATATTGTGCATCTCTTGCAGTAGTATTGATTGCACATATATAATATGGGTGGAAATATACTTTATATAAATTGATTTTGAAATTTTTTTACTGTCTTTTTATATTTTGTACAATTTGAAATCTACTTCCAGCAATGCTGCATAGCTTTTACAAACTTGTGTTCTTATGAGATTTTTAATTATTTTTGTATGTTTGCCTTATTGCTCCCTCTTAAAACACCCTGCATGTTAAATAATGGCAGATGCTCTCACTGACTTGAACTATGTTTCTTATTTTAGTGATTATGTAAGGAAGAGTATTGGGACAGAGCATACATTTAGAGAGATGAGTCATCGTGACGAATTACTTGAAAAATGCCAAGAAATATGTGAAGAAGTGGTTGAAGATATGGTTCATCGTAATATGTTGGTATTGTAAAACTTGATTATATTTTACTTGCTTTTATTTTTTCCCCTTTTAAAAAGTTGAAAGAATATTTTTTAATGCACAATTTCTGATAAATTATTAAATTTTACTAATCTTAATTTTACCCTTGAAAGTGATAGTAGTTTTTCTTGTTTATGGTGCATTCCGTATTATTTTACTTGTTGTGAATGTTTTTTTTTTTAAAAAATATTGGAATAATGCAGTAGAATACATTTAATTTTTTTTTGTTGTATTTTTCATAGCGAAAAAATTTTAATATTTCACAATGCTATTGAAATATCCTGTGTGTAACACAAATTGCATAACCAGTCATCATTACTGGCATTCGATGTGATATGATGATATTGTAATAAAACCTTTTGTTTCTACAGAAAAGTTTTTATGATCCCAGAGCTCTTGAGAGGAAAGTTGCAAATACTATGCAAGTTGGTCTAATATGTTTTGAAAGAAGTAGAGACCCACAAAATATGATTTTAATTGTTTTTAATTTACCACCATGGACCTTTTGACAGCTTTTAAGTTATATTTGCATGGCCAGTTTTATAAATTGTGCGACCTGTAATCATGGTTTCCTCTAATATAATGATAGAGTAATCAAAGCTGATTTTAGCTGAACAAATTCTATGTTGCCAGAGTTCAAACTCATAAGAGAATAGTTGAAAATACTATGCAAGATATTTTGAAAGAAATCAATATCAAGGAACTATGATTTAAGTTGTCTTCAATTTAATACCATGCACATTTGGACCGCTTTAAAGTTATATTTCTGTGAGAATATTAAGTTATGTATAAATGTAATGACTGTCCTTAACTCTGTAAATGATGTTTTTTTGCCTAGCTGTACATTATAGAAACTCAGTGGTAGTTGCAAGAGACCAATTAGCAGGTGGGTTGTGTTCATTATAGTATCAGGTTCAGCTATTAAGATTAATAAGCTCATATTAGAAACTTAGGTTGCACGGACATGTGCTACAAGAGACTGGTTTATGAGATTCCCTGCATTTACAAATTGATACTTACAGTTACAAAAGCTGTTTAAAAAATTTAAATTGTATGCACTTAAACTATACATGCTTTAAAAGTTATAGTTTTTATGAAGCAATAAGAAATACTTGATAGATGTTTAACAAATTTTTATTTTAAACCCTTTCTAAGGCCGTGGTAAGTATATTTACCACCACTATAACTTTGGTATGCCATTCGTTATTAACTTCAGCTTTGATGAAGTGATATTGAATAAAAGTGGTTACAATATGCCTGTTTTTAGGGAATGTAAAATAAGTCATAACATATAATTCCTTTTTCAGTTTGGAGTATTTATAAAATTTATTTTATAAATGTAAAGAAATCAAGACGTTAAGTTTCTTACTTTTTTATAACACCTGTTGGGTAGTAGTAAACATACTTACTACAAAAAATGTTGTTAAAATTCAAATTAAATTTTATCAGCTAATATAAATGAGTTTTTTCATCTAAATTGAAAAAGCATTTTAATGTAACCTTACTAGAAATAAATAGTAACTTACTAGAAATTACATTTCAGTTATCACATTAGACAGATTCTTGATTACTTATGGTTTAATTATCACATGATTTGATTTTTCCCCCAATTACTAGTTTCTGAGAGCTTATCTGTGTTTCACACTCTTTTGTGTGGGTATGTTCTTAAAATAAATGTAGGTTCTATAACAATATGATAGTTTTAGTAACTATTTACTCTTTTTTCCCCTTTAAGTGTTGCATCAGTCATAGTTTCTTGTTCAGGTCTAATTTTTGCTTCTGAATGGCTGAATAAAAAACAATTGATATATTGTGATTCATATGGTGGTATGTGATTCATATGGTGTGATTCATATGGTCTATCATAGATGGAGTGATATACATAATAATTTGTTTCATTGTGTTAAAAATTGCTAAACGCATTATATGAACTACCTCTAACTTATTATTTGTATGCAAGATTATATTTACTATTGCACTGGGTGTCAATTCGAGTTTAGGTATTGAATAAAGTTTTGCTTTTTTTTATTTTAATAAGTATCTTTTTTTATCTAGGGAAAAGTCATAGTTTTGAAGTATAAAACGACTAATTTTGTTTCCCACACAAGGAATCATTCGCTCTCTTTTTACACTTCTGATAAGGATATTATAATGAAAGCTGCCAAAAAGCTACTTGATGCAGAAATTGCTTCAGTTGCACCTAAACCATTACAGTTAAGACTCATGGGTACAGTATCAATTTTTTTAATTTTTTTTTTATCATAGATCTAGTTGGAAGCTCTCTATAAAATAATGCAAATTTTTAAAACCATTTTTATCTTAGATTTAATTTAATATGCAATACGACTATTGTCATTAATCGTTAAATTGAAGTACCGAAACCTGCTATGTAAATACTTTCCTTAAATAATATTCTATGCTTGGTTAAAATGCTAGAAAAAGTTTTTTTATAATCCAGTCTTAAGGTAAAAAGTTTTACTGATTAATTAACAGTTAAAAATTAAAGAATCTAAATTAATCCTCATTTTACTTGGTAAGAATGAAAAAAAGTTTCTCCGTTATCTCACGCTAAAAAGAAGTATATACAAGATATATTTTTTTAACCAAAAAAAAAATTATGTAGTTTTCATCTATAACTGTTGAATGTCACTTAAAGCTTCTGACAAGCATTTATTTTTGCTTCATAAAGAATTTACAAATCATTTGTTCTAAAAAAAGTAGATTAATACATCTATGCATAAACTTTCAGTTTCTTTTAATTTTCTTATAAAGAAAATACTTCTTTGATTATCATTTCTGAATATTTCTGGTCATTTACGTAAAAAATACATTTTTTATTTATGAAGCACAATAAATTTTTTAATTCTTGGTTTTCATTAAAAAATATCTTGAATTTAAATTTAAAAAAATACACATTTTAAGGTTTAAAAGAACTGCTGTTTATTAATAGATGGTTTTAGTATTTTTCATAGTTTCTTAATTTAGCTTACACTTTTTAAAAGTGATAGAGATATTTTGCATCTCTTTCTACCTGATTGATTCATATTACACAAGAATTAATTAATTATTTGCTAGTTAAGGAGTAAGTAATTTGAGCCAGTGTTCTATTGAAGTAAAAATAGAGAACCAGTCAGAAAAGAATGCAAAATCTTTCTAATGATAGCATATTTCTGAATTAAAACTCCTTTTTTTTACCAAGTGCTAATTTCTATAACCCTTTCTGTAAACAATATTTTTGTTTACAATAATTAAGAAATAATTTTAACCTACAAATACTGAAGCATAAAAATGATTGACATCAAAATTATAACATTCAAAGTTTCTTACTTTAGCTTAATAGAGAGATTTTGCATATCTTTGCATATCTTATCTTATTTTGCATATCTTATTGATCCATATTGAACTAGAATGAAGTAATTATACGCTAATTATAGCTCAGGTTAATAGAACTGATGATCTAATAGTCAGAGGATGTTAAAGAAGTTAACAGGGTTAAAAAGGCTACAAAATTTCTCTAATTATAACATGTTTCCAAAATAAAATTTTTTAAGAGCTTACTCTATGACATTCTTGTTAAACAATATATTTTACTTAAAATAAATAAGAAATAATTTATTGTAAATACTATACTAATGCTGAAAAATGATACTAAAAAGTATTTTAAAATTAATATTTTTAAATGTTTGTCTTTTAAATTTATAAACGCAACTACAGATCGTTTTTATAGTTTCTAGTGTATTCTAAACAGTAAAATGTTTGTAAAGACTGAAAATGAATCATTTTCAGGCAATGTTAAATTTATAGATGTAATTACATTTTATCCAATTTTTATACTTTTTAAACCCTTTTTGTACTTATAAATGTTTTCTTACTGGTAATCTCATTTTTTTCTTTTTTTTGAAAATTTATGTGTCTATTTTAATTTCAATTAAAACTTAAATTGTTTGTTTGTAGGCATAAGAATAGCTAATTTGATATTTGAAGGTGAGTTACCAAGTACTGAAAAACATTTAGTGAAAATAAAAGAATTTTTGAAGCCTTGTTGTTCAACTAGTGCTGATACTGAAATAGACTCTGAAATCACAGAAACTGAATCCCTTGGGAATTCTTCAATTTTTGTGAACAATAAATTGAACCCTCCTGTTGAATTAAACAGTGAGCAACAAAAAACACACTCTGACGATTCTATAAATAACAACTGCCCTAGTCCTCCAATAGAGAAAGCAGTGGACTTAAGTCCTCAAAAAGCTACATACACATGTCCTATTTGCAATTTGAATCAAAATGTTAAAGATTTAACTGAATTGAATACACACATAGATAACTGTTTGAACAAAGTTGAAATCAGAAAGATTCTTGCTGAGGAACAAGTTTCTGACAGAAAAAGGTAAACAAGCTTAGCACTATTATTATTTCATAAAAGTGTATTTTATTTTATAATTTCTATATACAGGGTGCAGCAAAAACAGAAATTTTTTAACATAGCTTTATTAAAAATGAATAATTAACAACAAATAACAATAAGAGTATATTAATTAATAAATTTAATCGGTTTTTAAAGTGACTGCCTTTTGCAGCGATGTGGAGGCAAAAAAGCTTATTGGAATTTTCAGCAATGGGCCGCAAGTATTCTACCCTTAATCTATCCATTCCCGCCAAAGTAACTGTTTTAGAGAATCCAAGAACTTTTTTATTTAATGATTGTGAACTGAGCAAATGAATGATTTCACACCATCGTTTTCCATGCTTAAGCGAGTTTAAAATAGCAAATCTTTGGCTTGCATAACTCATCATCAACAAACATCATAACTAACATCAACTAAGATATATATTGTAAAATATTTTATAATTAAATTGGTAAACAAAAAGAAAGGAATGCAAATTAAAAAGAAATTAGTCACCTTCTATTTTATAATGGAATTTTGTTCAAATTTTTTTTTCTGAACCCTGTAAAATCTTCTGTAATTTTCAAATTACAGAAGATTTTTTAGTGGATTAATAATAGAATTATTATAAAAAATTTTTGGTGTGAGAAAAATTTTAGCACATAATTTTATTTTATAACAATTTTGATTGTGTTTATCTTAAAATTGAAGTATTGTGCATGTGAGTTTTATTAAAATCTTTAAGGTATAAAATATGTTATATCTCAAGTTTTACTGAAATTTTTTATGTATAAATTATGTTATATCTCATGTTTAAAATGTTAGTATTTCAAAGATCATATTTCAAGTTAGTATTTTAACTTTTATTGAAATCTTTAAGCTTTAAAATATGTTATTTCTTAAGTTTAAAATTTCAGTTGAATCAATGACTTAAATAATAAAATTCTTAATAATATGAATATTACATAGCTGCCAACCCTTCCGCATTTTGCAGAAGCTTTCTGCATTTTTCTTATTTTAGCTATTTTTTTCCGCTTTTATGCGCAGAAGAGAAGATCTTCCGCATTTTACCCGGCTGCCTGATAGCTAGTATTTTCTTTAAGTCAGACATCGCTACTCTTCTTGTAACAGCCTTAGGCAGGGCCGTAACTAAGTTTTTAGTCAAGAATTAATAAATTAATATTGTACCATCAAGTAACTGGTCAAAAGTTTTTTTAAAAAATATTTCCTTTTTTGTTTTAAAAAAAGGTGAGCATTGCATTTTTATGCTCATATTAAGTGGATTTATAAATAAATAATTAATTAAAATCCGCTTCTTTTATAAATTTATTGGTAATTCGTATGCAGTTTAGGCATTTCTTCTGCATTTTTTTGTCTATCTTCTGCATTTTTGTAACTAGAGGTTGGAAGCTATGATATTCAAATAATAAGGTAAGCTAAACAGTTTACTCTATTATTTAAAAAAAAAATTATAAACATTTATAAATTTAAATAATTTTCAATCAGAAATTTTAAGTTAAAAAAAATTGTGAAATAGTGGGGTATTCTTTACCTTGAAAAATGTGAGGAGCTTAAAAAAATCTAACACACTCCTTACTAATTTGTTTTTAACTGAAAATTGTATTAAAATTTTATTTCTCCTTTCTGCCACGCTTATAATAAAAGAATGTCTTATAGAAAGGTTTCTTTTTAATTTAATTTCAGACTAAGTTCTCTCTTTTTCAGTTATCCTTGTAATATACCACGTACTAGTTTCATATTTTTTTAACTTTAGATATTTGCTTCAAAATTGATCTTTTAAAGTTCTATTAAATAAAAATAGTTACCTTCAATACTTCAGCTTATATATCAGTATTTTATCCTTTTTTTATAGTTTCTTTACCATGCTACTTATATAAGAGGCCGTTTAAATATTGTGTAAGTGCCTAATGGGGGCAGGGTTTTTGTAATTTGTTTATTTTTGCTGACAAGGGTATAAGCTAGGCTTGCATAAGATATTAATATCCCTTATTTTCAAAATTCTTTTTAAAAGCAAAATTGAACATGTTGGTTGAAATGTGCTACATTGGATGGAAAGGCTTTCTAGGTGAACTTGCATCTTATCCTGAATCCAAAGCACCATTAAGTTCTTTAGCACTATTTCACAATTATGGTTTTCAACTTACATGCTTCTTCGTGCACATTCTTCATTATTGTACAGTGAATGTCTACTGGTCTCAGTTCTATGGCAACCTAAAAGATAACCACACATTAACCATGTTTGGACGCATTTGGTTAAAATATTGCTCATAATTCCTTACACATACTTAGGAAATAAATGAATGCCACTTTAATATCGCATGCTTAAATATCTGAGCAAGCACATTATATTGTGCCAATGAGTTTTTAAATCTGAGAACAGATCGTAAATGCATGTTTACGAAAATGAACATGACTCAAAATACTTGTTTACGAAAATGTATACACCCTGAATTGCATTGTCTATCTTCATAAACACGCATTTTGAATTGTGTTCATTTTTGAAAACACGCATTTGAAACTATATTCAGATTTATAAACTCACCGAAGATTGGCAACTTATTAATTTGTGTATATACCCTTCCGCATCGCCCTCAAATAGAAACTTTTTGATTGTGCCCTGTAATTTCCAATGTTATCTGGTAATTTTATTTTCCTCAAATCTATATTTTCAGCTTTTTTCTTATTCCAGTATTTTTATGTATTTAACTGCTTTTTACAGAATAAAATTTTAAAATTCCATATTTTTTTTACCTGTAATCAATCTTATTACAAATTAAAACACTATAATAACACATAATTGTTTTAGTATAATTTATTAATTTGTAATATGGTTATTTAGTATCTTAAAATTTAACTGCATATCTGTGTTTTAAAATGACTAATTCTGAAATCTAATAAACTTATCTTACAATGTAATCCTATGGTAATTCATTTTTTACAGTTTTCATTTTAATTCTTATTTTGTTTAAAAAGAATAACTTTCCTTATTTTACTGAATTTAAAATATTTTAAATGTTTTTTGGATGTTTCACGGATGTTTTTTTTTTTTTTTTTTTGGCACAGAGCTAATTTTCAATAAGATAATAAATAATTCAATAAGATGTATTTAACTATTTTTTCAAGGTTAAAAATAACTTTATTATTGTGGTTAATTAAACTAAAATTATAAGTTAACTAATTTGAAAACCTTCTGGAAATATGTCAAATTGATCTTTTCTTCTTGATTGTTACTCAAAGTAATTTGCTCTAATCTAAATTAAATTAAGAAAGAGTTTCATAGCTTGATATTAATAAGTTTTTTATGTATTTCTTTTTATTTTTGTAAGCTGCACGTTATCATTGATTAAAATTTTTTTTATCATTTGTTATAGGAAGTTGCAGCACAATGATAAACACTGCAAGAAACCAAAAACTTCTCAAAAAACTTCAAGAAGAATAGATGAATATTTTCATTAAAATATTAAACTAAAAAATGTATTTTTCTATACTTCCAAAAAAAAAATAAATCTGAATGTATTAAAAGTTTTTATCACACATTAAAAACTGAACTTATCAATTTACAAAAGAAGACTAAGACAAAAAATTTTGTAAGGAAACCGTTTCTTATAGCCAAAACAAAAAAGTTCTTTAAAATTTTGGCACTTAATATAATGGTATTAATATATAAGCGTAATAATGGTTGTATAATTGCTTTTTACCAGTATGTGCATTTAAACTTTTAGTCTGTTTAAATCCAAATTCAATGAGTTTCTTTGATGAGTATTTAGAATAGTTATCGAGTTTGTAGTTTTCTCATTAAAAAAATTGCACAGATAGGAGTAAAAAAATGAATTTTGGCTAAAATCAAAATGATTTAAATGTGAAAATTAAATATTTATTTTATTATCATTATAAAAAATTGAAACTGGTGCATATATGGACCACTATGTTGTGTAGCATTAATCAAACATTCTATTACTTTCAGAGTGATATCCTAAGCTTTAAATCAGATATTTATTTTTTTTTCAATTATGAGAAACCTATCAACCTTTTGTGTTGGAGCTTGTCTTATTCAGTGCAATAACCATTTAACTGCTCTGGGAAAATTTAATGTTCTTTTATAAAGTCACTACACAAAACCTTAATAGAAATTGTAAAAACCATAATAAATTGTAAATCTCAATTTGAACTTAATGATCGATGACATTTGGCTAGAGGAAATAAATGAGTCCACAAGGTTTTACAGAAAAATGACACATCCAGTATAAGCCACTTTCAGAAGATTTGATTGGTTAAATTTACCAAATTGCAGCGATGTTGATTTTAGCAATTTATCTACTGTTCCAACATGATTTTTTATGGGGTTCTAATAAGGGGATTCTACAAGCCAATTAAAATATGTGAAAGTGTTCATAAAACGATTCACATATTTTTACATAATATTTGACTTCTTGAAAAATAGAAGAATCCACCAATTTTCATTGAGAAGATGCTGAATGAATGACAACTTGTGATCATTCAAAACGTTAAAAAAAAACATGTCGGTTCATGTTAGTTGTCAGCATTCCCAATTCATAATACATAAAAGTTTCCCAAAATTACTCAGGTTGAAATATGAAAACTAATGCTTAAATTTTTAATTGTTTTAGATTCATACAATGTGTTATGTAACAGTAATTGATATGTGAATTAAATAACAACTTTCAAAAAGTTGTATATGTATTCATATTTGATTATGACCCTTTATAATGCATGTGTTTGTGTAAAGTAAGATTTTAGAAAATTTTTATTAAACAGATTAGTCATGGCTTTTAAAAAAAAACTCCTTCGACCTGCAATGCAGTTTTTCCCCTCCTAAGGCAAAGTTAGAGACGTTTTAAAATTTAAAGCTACTATTTTAACTTTCCTTAAAGATTCTTCTGTAATTTTATATTTTAAACAAACTTGTTTAATCTTATCATATGTTATTCTTGTCTTAGTAAATATTCAACTATATCAGAAGCGCTCCATGTATAAAAGGACATCAATCACTGGCATTCAAACTGTCTTTTCCAGTTTAAAAGATATCTAGGTTTGTCTAAAAAATAAAATTAAGTTAATTTTAAAGAAATTTAAATAAAAAATATTTTGTATTTTTTCAAAAGGTAAATTTTGAAAAAATAAATCGTGTGTCGTAAAAACTACATTAAAATAGTAAAGTGCCTAAACCTGAACATGTTAAATCAGCAAGCTATTTCCAAATTCAGTTTTTAGCAATTGACAGAAACTTGTTTACTGAAAGCGTTAATAATAAATTGTTAATTTTTATGAATAAATTAAAATGTATTAATTTTCCTTTTTGATGTTTTCTAAACACTTCTCTTCATTTCAAATAATCCAAACAAATTGAAAGACATTAATACTTTTTACTAGACCATTTGATTTTTATACATCGCTTTTGTATTGCCTAAAATTTTGCACATTTTTCTCAAAATTAGTTGTTAGCAAAAGTATATAATTTTCGTTAGGTGAACTTTAAAATATGTTTATATATATATTATAAAAACTTATATAAAATACTTGTCTTCTATCAGTTTTTTTTTTCTTCAAAGATTGCTTTTTAGAATAAATAGGTTGTCAATTGCCCAATAAAACTCAGAATAGAAAATGAGAAAAATATATTTTAGAAAGCAATTTTAAGTATAAGAGTGAAAAATAGGAAAATAAATATAATTTCTTTTTACCTTTAAAAAAAATTATCTACTCCTTGACTCTTACATAAAAATTTATTTTTCCCTTATTCCATCCTTTATTTATTTATTTTTTGCAATTTATTGTCTCAGCAAATGTATTTGTATTTATCAAAAATATGTATTTTGTATTTAAAAAATTACATATTTTTTTTTAACTGTTCATTTAATGTAATATTTCTTTCCGCATAAAATGATCAACAAACAATATATTTTATTCTAATTATATTATATTTTAATTACATTGTATTTAAATTTACATTGTATTTAATTACATTGTATCCAAATCACTTGAAAATTCTTTCCTTTATCTACTAAATAAAATTAAAAAAATTTCTGATGGCGAACATCACAAATGATTTTTTTATGTTAAAATGTTTTTAATAAATATCTTATATAACTATGTAGATAAAATGCTTGGTAATATGTTAAGCTATATTTCAAATCGTTCAGGAGAGCCTTTTTGTAAGCAGTAAGATGTCTTTAAGTATTGCCGTGTTACATAGTGAAAGTTCCATAAACTTGAAAAGTCCTTAACAGGAAACAATATTAAGGAACAGTTTGATGCTAAACTGTCACCTTTGGAAAACAGTATATCATCTTAAAGCCTTCAGTATTCATATCTTTCTGTATTTGATTTTATTGCAACCTTTTTCTCTTTGAGTTTTGTGAATACCGAGTGGAATTGTATATAAATGTATAAAGATATATTTCTATTTTAAAATGTTTTTAATTGTCTAAAAATAAAATTTATTTTTACGTTGTATTTATTAGTCCATTTTTATTAAAATAAAGTCATTTATAATGAAAATAAAAGAACTTACTTTAATGGTTAGTTGTAAAAAAAATTGTTTTAAGTTAAGAAAGACACATGTAAGAACGTATACATCGCATGTATACGTTCTTACATGTGTCTGTCAAGAAATAAATTATTGTGCAAAGTATGATAAACAATTTTTCCTTGTTTTGCCACTTTTGTTTAAATCTATTCGTAAAATATATTTTTACTTAATATTTTGTAATTGCTATTAACCCTGTGCGGAGCAGCAAATTTTGGTTGAAAATTTTAGTGGCAACTGCAACCCTAGAGAGTATATTCTTATTGAAGAGGCATGCTTCCTCTCGTTGTTGCTTAAAAAATAGTGCAAAGATTGTTAGAAATTTGTGAACATTTAGAAGCAAATAGTTGTACATTTATAGTGGTTTATATCATTTTTGAATCAAAAGTAGCCAGACTGGCAACAAAGTGCCAGAAAGGGTCAAAATGATTATACTGGTTATCAATCACAAAAACTCTCTTGCCACCAAATTTGGGCATTCACGGTCACTGTGGTAAATGATGATAAGTCTTTTTGAATAGGGATCGGGGTTAGTCATTTCACTTTAGTGTGTGTCCGAAGAATCATGCCATTTCTTTAATTCTCTCCCTTATAGAAATGATTTTACACATATTCCCATAGCTGCAGACAATCTAATACTTTCAGTCCACAGGTGTTCTCATGATAGCTGGATAATAAATAACATTTATTATGTATATCTTTACAAACTTTCAAGTCAGCACATGAGATATTCATAAGAATAACAGGCAATCATTTGTAATTAAAAATTAAGTTCCTATATCTGATAGAGTAGGAGATTAATGACATGTAGGCAATAGTCGGAACTGATACTGTTAGCAGGTTAAGAAGCTTAAAAGTTTTTAAAACTGGTTTAACCCCGATGCCCGAGTGTGCTATAAGAAAGCTTAAACCTGCTAATCGAAACAAGGTATAACTTGCTGCAAGTAACATGTCTCTGAGGATTGGGTTTAGACTTTGTAATCAGTATGAACGCGTCGAAATATAGTAAGCAATTTAGCTAAAAGTGAATTTAAACATAAACTTACTCACAAATATTACTTATGAATACGTAAAAATTGGAATTCATGATTTCTCTGTATGTTTGTCTACTAAAAAATTAACTCGTTTATGCCCAGCCACAATAAGTGGTCTCTACTTATGGAGAGTCCCACAGTGGTCTGATTGTAAGACACGGTTTCCAGTTGATCATCCAGGAATCACTGGCAATGGTCAGTGAGTGGGTGGTTGGCCATTTCAATCACAGCCTGCGAAAGTACCAAATGCTAAACTGTTCTACTGTAAAGTGCCCGACTTCGCGTGCAGATTGTCGGGTTACTAAAGCGGATGAGCCATCCTCTCTGCAGAGGATCAAAATTGGGATTGTATGTCTTCAGATTGTCATCAGTCATGCTTACCAGATTATCGCCAATAGAACGTTGGGCAGTTCTAGTGCGATGTAAAAAAACTACTACTACTCAGTGATCTCCAGATATTCTATGGTAAGTGAGCAAATACTAAGTTTTGTTATCTCCGAGCGATCTCGACGTTTGTCAAACGCTCTGTAGCGTCGAGGTAGCGGTTTTTAAATTTTACCATATTTCTGTAATATCTCTTCTCTAACTTGTACTATCTTCAAATTGACATGTAAAAATGAATTTAAAGGGTTTGTAAGTCGTATTTGTTATGATATCTACTTCTTCAGCACTACAGCCTGTCATAGGCCCATGCTGTCTTCACGAGCCTTCCTCTTTCTCTGTCTGGAGCACCAGATTACCATCGATTGACTCCCAGATTCCAAAGATCTCTCTCAACAGAATCAATCCACTTGGCGAAGGCTTTTTTCCTTTCCGTGAACCTCAATTTTTGAAAAAATCACAAATTTAGTTGAGTTTGATTCATTTTGTAATGATAACCCAAATCTGCATATATATTGTGTAACAATAAGTAAACAATACTTCACAACTTTTCGCCTATGTTTGCTTTTTGAACCGTAGAAAGAACCCAGAGTGCAAAAGGTTAATATTTTATTCTAGATAGAAACATCGCGTTTTTAAAAAGTATTTCCGAATAATGAATCACTACTTTTTGAAGAAAAAAAAGAAACGCTTTTTTAACAGGGCGCTATGCATAAATTCTTAAAAATTACTGATAAACAGTGCAAAACTGTAAAAAGAAACCTGAATAATAAAAATAAGTTATGGTAAATTTATTGTTTTAAATACAGTTAGCAATTTTTTATTTTAACTACTACATACCTGATGGCTATCACGAATTTTTATCTTTAAAAAGGTTACATAACTTACATTTCAATATATTTAAATTAATTTGATATAAAATGTTTTTTACTAAACTCATAAAAAAAATTTAATAAATCTATAAAAGTCCGGTAATTAAATTTTTGAAATTCTAAGTATTATTGAAATTAAAAAAAATTTCTATCTTTATTCACCTACTATAAAAGAAAACTCTGGCCAGAAAATTTGAAAGTTTGCATCTATCACTAATGCTTCAGATAAAATCTTTTTAACCCTTGTTCGGCACAGCAAATCTCAGTTGAAAATTGAAGCAAAAACTACTGTGACCGTAGATAGGATTCTGATTGAAGAGCTATATTTGAGAGTTCTATCTATGTTGTTAAAAAAAAAAATTATTTATCTAAGAAGCAAATAGTTTTACATTTCTAGTGGTATAGAACATTTCCTAGTGGTTCAATGCTGTAAAGAGTTTAAGGCCAAGGTTCCTATCAACATTTTTAAAAAAGGTAAGACTGGTAACTCAATTATATCTTACCTAGAAAAAAAGACATTCTTATTTTCGATAGTATATTAATATTTTAAATATCAGAACTGAAATTATGCTACTGCGATATTTTAAAACCCGAGTGTTAGGCAACATTCGAAAACATCGGGTTCCGTCACCCATAAATAGTCTACCCCTTTTTTTAAAGGTACTTTTTACAAGATTGCTTTTTCGTAATATTATTCTGAAATGAGTTAAGTTGATAATTACGATGAAATCCTCTTATGACTAACTTTTGTTTTAATAATTATTTGAAAAAAATAATTCAATCGAGATTATTTTAAATAACCGTTTTGAGGTTTAAAATTAAGAAATTTACACTCATTAAAGCCAACATTGAAAAATATCAAACTTGTCTAAGCATTAATGGTCTACCACTTATTCCATGCATGTACTTTTTACATCATTGCAAAGTGTTGCATTTTTACAACAGTATTTCGGAATGGGTGGAATTATGCTACTGCGAAAATTGAAGATACTAGAAAATATCGAATTCGATTAAGCATACATATCCTACCACTTAGAGGTACTTTTTACATCACTACAGAAGTACTAAGCGTTGTTTTTTTGTGAAAACAGTATCCCAGTATGGGTTAAGGCAGTGCTTCCCAAAATGTGGTACGCGTACCCCCAGGTGTACGGGAACAGTTTAGCGGGGGTACGCGTTCTTATGCGAAATATCTTGCAACATATGAAAATTTCAAAAATATGTTTATTAAAAAACAAAACCAGCTATGAAAATTTACGATAACGTATTTTTCTATTGGCTATTCTTTGCAGAGTTAACAGTTAATAATCAGTGGTGTCAACAGCCAGTTGTGATTTTTAACTTTTGTGCACTTTTTATAGTAAAAAATACATTCATTTTTTTTATTAGTGGTACACAGCGTTACAAAAAATTTAGAAAGGGTACACAAAATTCATAAGTTTGGGAAACACTGGGTAAAGGCAATATTATGTTCGCTGCGATAAAATCATTTTATTACCATCTCTTGTTTTATTAATGTTTTTTAAAAATCTGACTCATAAACTATTTTAAGCAATCGATTTCAGATCTAAATATACATAATTTGCAATTTTCATTTGTTGTTAAAAAATGTGGAAGAAGAAGAAGCCATGGAAAACTTTCGTTAAATACATAATTAGATAATAAAATACTTATTGGGTTTCTCTCGGAAAAGAAACTTTTATGCATCATAAGTAACCATATTTGCTTGTTTACTTCGCAGCTGATTACATCCAAGATGGTTGCTACCTGCAGAATCTACAAAAAAAGTTGCCCCAATGGAAAAGTAAATTCTATTCTAATTATTATCTATTCTAATTTGATATTCTAATAACTTTAATTTTGTGGAAAAATTTCAAGAGCAACTAAACGTGTTGAAAATTAGAATTTCGTTATATTTTGCAGGTCATTTTTAATCTAAATGTGTATGCAGTTGGACCTCGGTTTAACGAACGGATTCCGACCGACAAATCCGTTCGTTATATCAAATATCAATTTTTATAAAGGTATATTGGTATTATGGTATAAAAATATCAATGCAAAATACTCTTAGATAATGAAAAGAAGTGATTATTGTTTACTACGAGCTTAAAAATTATAAGTTGTACGTTAGGAAATCAACTTTAAAATGATCTTAATTCTTTAACGCTACTTGCTTTGAAAACTTAATACATGCATATAATTACATACTTGGATTAGGGTGTGAAATATTCAAAATTTCAAGTGCGAAAAATAGTTTTAGTTTCATGTGAGAATTTTTTTTCCAGATTTTTGTACGTTTAATCAAAGCTAAAAATTCGCTAAAGGAGAGCATTTTAACACCCTTTTTGACGGACAGAAAAAAATTCGTTAAATCGAGGTTCGACTGTATATATATACATAAAGTGTTAGTGCGTTTATTTTGAAATGAAGAACATGTTCTCTTCTTTTAGCCATTATTTTTATTAAAAAATAATGATTTCCGATCCTGATGATTTAATCGTAATAATGATTATGTGATGAATAATGATTTAATCGTAGATCCTGAAACTGAGAATCGTTTTTCTTTTTACCTCCATTCATAATGAACTTCTAGCATTGTTGTCTAGCGTCCTTTTTCATCATCATGAAATTCTAGCATTGCGGTCTTGTTTGAAATGCAAGTGAAGTAGAAAAGGGGCACATTGCCACCCTATACATAAGTGAAGTTTTTACTTTTTTTCTGTATCTTGGAGAGGGATGCATCACTACAGATTTTGGCTGCTGTTCGTCGTATTCTGATAACATATCAAATTGGAAAATATCATTGTTGGGCCTTCTAAAAGAAGTTAGAATTTAATTTAGCAATATGTTGGTAAATATAATCAATTTTTAATGGGCGATGTATGTCTATGTTGCAAGCAGAGCCTCTGCTATATTGCATCAAGCGTTCAATAGGTCACAGGTCAACATGTTTGGATATTTATAACAGGATTGCTAATCTTTAAAGGGAAGAAAAATACTGGTAGAAAGAAAACGACACTTTTATCCATTTTTAGGAAAGGTAAATTATCCAAAACAATCACGACTTATTATTATTATTTTTTAATAACATATTCAGATATTTTTTAACTGACAATAAATAGTGGTAATCAAGTATAATTAACTTCTCTTAAAACAAAAATAAAAATTAGAGATTTTTACAATGAGTACTTTACGTATATCGAAAATTAACAGCCATGTAAAATATTTTGATTTATATAAATATCGTGATTCATCTCAATTATTTTAATGAATAAATTACTAGCCATTATTTTAATCAATTAACAGCCATGTAAAATATTTTGATTGATATAAATATCGTGATTCATCTTTTTTATTTTAATGAAAGAATTACTAGGGCTACCACTTTTAATCTATTTAAAAAAATGTCCTGTGCTTTTAATCGCACCAAAAATAAAGTTTTACTTATTTAATATTCCCTTGAAGTCAAAATGTTTTGTCTTTTCATACTGTGCATTTTTTCTTTCTTTATATAGGTTACATTATATCTATCCAAAAGGGAATACGTTGATCACATAACTTTTGTAGATCCAATAGGTAAGAAAATATGTTTACGACTAATTTTAATTTCAGGTAAAGTAGTTACAAAAGTGTGATTTGGGGATTTGTTTGTCAAGTAGACTATAAACGCTGACTTGCGAGAGAAAAAAATGTAAACGGTTTATGTATAAATACGGATTATTAATCGAAACTGTACACAAAAAACAACCAGATTGGCTTCGAAACTTAAAAGTCTGTTCTAAAATTACTTTTTGTTAATAGAATCCATTATTACTTTAAATATTGTAGAAGTTTATATTTTCAAAGTGAGAAAAAAATGGTTAATAAGTTATTATTAAAAACAGAAGGGCAATGAATAAAATAGAACCTTGTAAATAAAAATCACAAATATATTACAACGATTAATTTCGTTGTTACAAGTTTCGTAGCTATTATGTTGTTACTTTGTTACAATTCTTTGCAAGTCTGTTGTTACAAGTTTCGATGCTTCTCTGGGGTATGATATCCAGAACACTATAAAATACAGAAAATCCTTACAAATGAGCGGATAAGATTAACGAAATACATAACTTCATACACTGAGGAGACAAAAGTCGCGAGATACCTTTTAATATCGTGTCCTCCAGCTCAACGATATGATAGGCTTCACAAAAATCTAAGCCTGCTGAATAAAAAAATGTTGTAAGACACAAAAAAAAAGAAAAAAAATTAAGAGCTTCGGTAGCACAAAATAACAATTAATGGCATTCAATCTGTTAAGATTGAGAAAGATCAACATTCGAGATCCCAACATAATTCAATGAATTTTTTTATTATTATAATTAATACGAATTTAATTTATTATCGTCGTTGAACAACCAACCCAAATTTGAGTTTACGACTACTAATGTTCAATTCCGTAGCCTCGTAATTTTGAACCCAACCCAGAAGACAAGGGAACTACTAGATCAGTACCCCCAAAGGTATTGATTTATTATACGAACCTGAAAGTCTTAGTGACCCTGACAGATTTAACGTGAACCAGTCACCATTTAACGCACAGGAATTTTTCAGCCGGCTGGATTCGAACTCCCGTTCTTACGAACACGAAACCAACACTCTACCAACCAGACTATCCCGGTCCAATTATTACATAATATAACAAATTCACTATCACTTTATATCTTAATTTGAAGAAAACAGACAGTATTTACGAACTCAAATATTCATGGGAACACTTATGATAAACTAGCCGCCAGCTGGTCTACCTATAACAACTCACCGCTTCGCGGCTCCACGTTCTTTCATACTGCTTTCGGCAGCATTGCTCTAAATCCTCAGCATAATTATTTTAAATTTCAAATTTAAGAATAAGTCTTTTTCGAATTGGCCAGCTGTGGCCAGATGCTTTGCCCAACCAAACTCAAGGATCCACAGAGTCGCTAATTGCCCCGAATTATCCCGATCGTTTAAAAATATTGAAATAAAGCATTTCCAGCTTTTCTGCTTGATTCATAAAAAATAGATGATCTGAATTTGACTTCCATCTTGGTAAAAGCTTGATTACTGTCAATTAGACTAATTACCCTCAATTACCGCGATAATCACAAAACATTGAAATGAATCTATTGAATGGTCAGAATTAGAGAAATTTCTATCTTGGTACGGAAGTGCTATTTAATATTAGTGTCAATAAGGTAAAATATGATCTCGATAATAACAAAATATCGAAATAAAACTTTTTAGTTTGTTTACTTATAACATAAAGGACACACGGTCCTAATTTATGACTTCAATCGTGGTAAAGACGTGCCATCAAGCATTTCTGTAGATTTAGCTTACTACCCCGATAACTATAACCCTTACAAAAGAGGTTTTTGAGGTTTATAAGATGTTTCAAGGCGTCATGGTTGATTTGAGGTTTATTCAAAGTTAATTAAACGAAGAAAAAAAAAACCTTAGAAGATCAACCTTCCAAGGTGTATTATCAAAGTGTATGAAGTTGTTTTATTCACACTCGAGGTTGATGGAAATCTACTTTAGAGCAATCAGCTTAGGGAGGCTGTTTTTTAGATGCACGGATTATTTTTTCTACACTTCAAGCAAATATGTATATTTGAGCAGTGAATAATTTCGCCCCATCTAAGCTAAAATTATTTGAGTTATATACGAGATTGATTTTGTGAGGTGTAAATGAGGTTGAAATGAAGGTTTATAAATGAGGTTATTTTTGGTGCAAAACTTAAGCTCATTTTCCACCTCGGGTGTATTTTTTTACAACCGTCAAGCTCAAAAACAGAGTATTTTTTTGTAAAGGAAAATATCAAAATGAAAACTTTTTTTTTAATTTTTCTATACATATATTGCATAAAGAACAGATGTCCTCAATTACGGGTCTCTAACTTCGTGGAAAGTGGGAGAATTAGTGATAAGTGAATGAATGAGGCGTATATATAGAGAGAGAGCCATGACATTATGACCACCCTCCATCTATAACAATGGGCTTGACCAGGTTTTCATGGTTTCTCGTCCAGGAACAATGTTTTCATGGGGTACATTAGGACCCATAATCCTCATAGAACAATCCCTGACGTCTGTAAGCTACTTGAACATAGTTGCAGACCAGGTTCACCCATTCATGGCAACAGTTTTTCCTGCGGGGGATGGTGTTTACCAACAGGATAATGCA